CTCAATCTCTACCACAACGCGTGGTGGAACGTCCCTTCATACAAGCCACTTAGGGATTTCCTCAAATATGATTTCTTCCAGGTATATCTAAGTTATCTTCTCATAAAACCAATAGATCATACAGTGCAATACTTGAGTCATAGAATATCATAACAACAATGCATATTATCATGATTTTACATATTTTTGGCAGTATTATTCCAGAATTTGAACTGCTTGTAGATTTTAATGTTCATAAGATAGAGGCCATACCATATGGGTGATAGTGCAGTCATCGCATCGGCGGCATATTCTAAACTAAGCGCTATAACGCTCTGTAAATTGAGAAACACTAGTGGATCTGATACTAGAAGTGTATATCCCCTCATTTTGCAAATATGTCGCGTCTGCTAGGGTCTTAGGAGGTAATTTCGCGATATCGGCGCGTGGCGATTAAATTAGTAATTTCTCTAAAATATTGTATGGAAGCTATGTATAAAACTTATGTCATATGAATTGTTATATTATTTGCTATTACTCTGTAGATATCTTACTTGAATACAACTTAATAGATTTTATTAAGCCAATTTCAAAGTTGGAAAACCAAATTTTTAATAGTATTTTGTGCATAATTTGTGAAAATTAAACAAAAAAATCATTCTTTTATATAATAAATGTAATTTATTTTAATCAATATACACTAATTTATAATAAAAAAGCAAAAAACCCACACATTCCTATATATTTTTACCCCAAAAGTTTTTTACAATCTTAATACATTAACGGCAACCCAAGTGTCGCACAAAAAAAATAGCATATATTGTTAGTTTTATTTTGAGAAATGAGCAAGTCAAGTGGCGTGCGATAATTTTAACATTAAGTATGGCTCAAGTTCTTAATTTAGATAAAGTTTCATTTCTAAAAGGTATGTAATGTATTTTTAATCAACAATAGAGATAAATGTAAGGTAAGTAAGTATAACGACGGTTTATGTTCGATTTTTTTTTTATAAAAAGGATACATATCCCTAAATTATGAATTAAAAACTGTTGGTTATTAACCCTTCCATGTCTAAATAGCACCAAATTTCACTATTTGTTCGATTTACGAATAAAAATAAGGACAAAAACCGGGACGGGTGACCACATAAAAGCGACGTTCGCATGCGACTGCCACACAGGATGTTTATTCGAAATTTCTAAACATGGCAGTACTTTAGTAGCTTTGTATCGCATCCTCTTTCTTTGGTTTATAATTTTTTATAAGTAAAAATGTGATAGAAATCAGTGTCGCTGGTTATTTTACCCCCCCAAATACGCAGTCACGTATCGGCCAGAATCTGGTCGCTTGCCAGACGCGCGTAATTAACCATCGGCCAGAATCTGGCCGGTTGCCACACAAGGGGTTAAATGTTAGAAAGGTTGGTTGTGTTGCCCTTCACTATGTAACCTGCAGTCTATTATCAGGTGTTTTACCATGGATTTTTATGTCTAGGCGCCATAAATGCTCGGGGACCGCGCTGCAGGTGCAAGGCGCCTTATGGTGTCCTTCTGAGTGCTCAGAAGAGCAGATGAAAGATTTTTAATGTATGCAAATATAATTTATACATGGTAGAGCCATGTTTCAGCTGTATCATGGTTGTAGCACGAATGGGTCGACTGGACCAGGGTAGGACCATGCTCTCTACTACTAGCATAAAACAACAGCTTAATGCTGCTGTTTTGTAGTGAGTATAGAGAACCCTTTTTACTGGAAACGAGTCATTCCATCTTAGTCCTCAGGGGTGACAACGCATTTGCATTTTGATTCTTTAGATTCTTTTTTACTGGAAGCAAGGCAATCTATCTTAATCGAGATAAATGTACGTGTTTATGAAGCACAGCATCCACTTACCATCAGGTGGACTATGTTTGTTGGTCACACCCTTATTCTATAAAAATATATTGCTATTAGGGTGGGTACCTATTATGTAAGGTAATTTGCTGAATTTTAAGCAAATTGTTGTAGTAAAAACATGTATTTTAAGTAACAATAACGTTTTTATATTTATTAATTATTATTAATGAATATATTGATTAGGAGCCATGATAACAATGGAGTCAGGGATAAATATCATAGCATGCGAGCAACCCGGGTTCAATCCATGCTGGCACCAATGAAATAGTCAATTACAGTTTTAAGTGATTTACATGCTAAATCACTTAAAACTTAAACTCAGCATTGAAGGAAAACATCGCAAAGAAACCTTGAAAAGAAATTATATAAAGAAAAATTTGAAAACTTGGTGCAGTCCGTCAACACAGGGCAAAATATAAACACACTAACCCCCTTTTTATTATTACTAATAGAGAAAAAAAGTGTTTTAATTAAAAACAGATAGATATCAAAACCATTAAATATGTTTCTGTATTTTACAGACCCTGTCAGTAATCGGTGGTCTCCTCATGATAGTCTACCTTGGGCCAGGAGGTGTCAGTATGGACGAGCATAAAAAGAAATGGTAGAAACGAGCGCCTCAAACAGGCAATGCAAGGACTCTTGATATTAAAGTAAGGTTGTTATGGTGCAGTGGCTCTGCGGACCATAATTCTCTGGTGTTGTGTAAATATATGGATAAAATATGGAACTGTGTTATAGTCTACAGTATGGGTGCTTCATATTCATTTCTTTTTTTAAATAATCTATATTTAGAGCACAGATACAATTTCTTCCATAATAAATTCAAATCTCTACTATAATAATATAGTTAGATAGATCATAGTGGAACTACTACTGATAATATACATATTTTTCCCACTTCAAAACATGGTTGATTGATAGTTTCGAGTTAAAACTATGGTATAAGAGGTCTTTTTCACGAAACAGGACTAAGCTTAGTCTTCGCGTAACTAGATATTTGCTGTGAAATTCTATACTTTACATTTTATTTTGCACATTTTCCACAAGTTTTTGTTATATTGATACAGACTAGTTTAAATCTGAGACTTATTATTAAACTACTTTTTGCAATTGATATCAAGTTATAATTATATAACTTACAATCAAAACTTGGTGTAAGGCTTTCCCAGTAATTCTTAATTTTTTCGCTCTGTCGGCTAAGTAATAGTATGTATTGGCGACGCGAGATAAACATCTCATAATTTTTTTTATTGGTTCTTAAGATAAATGTCAATTTTATGTTAATTTTATAAAATGCTAATTTCTGAAAGAAATACAGATATTTGTATTAATTTAGAGTCATGGTATAAGAGGTCTTTTTCACGAAACAAGACTAAGATTAGTCTTCGCGTAATTAGAAATTCCATACTTTACATTTTATTTTGCACATTTTCCACAAGTTTTTGTTATATTGATACAGACTAGTTTAAATCTGAGACTTATTATTAAATCACTTTTTGTAATTCATGTCAAGTTATATTAACTTACAATCAAAACTTCGTGCAAAAAATGTTGTGTCTAAAATGTGTAATTTAAATGTAAAGTACCAGTACTTATACTACCAAGGAGTAGTAAACTTTAAAGACTTGAAATAAAAAATAATTTTGAACAAGTGTGTGTTGAACAGAAATTTAGGAAATGTTAATGACAAAGTCAATTTTATCAAAAAACTGATATTTAAACACCAACAAAATATAATTATTGTTAACTTTACCAAAATTGGGTAGTTGACACTATTCATTAATAAATTACTACGTTATATAAGTTAATATGCTTTTAGCAAACTTTTAAATGTCTTAAAACTAGATTTTCAGTATATGAAAATATATGAAAAGGATTATTTTTAGTATAAAACAGATCATGACACTATTTTCAATTTTTCAAAGAAATGTTTAGACAACTTTTAAAAAGTATTTCAATTAATTAGTGTCAAATACCTAATTGAAATTTAAAAGAATTTATATAAATGAATTTTAAAAAATCTCTTAAAATTTAGTAAGGAAATGATGCACTCATACATAAGACACTTTTTTTATGTTTATGTAACCGTATCTGCCTAATATGGAAAATGTCAATATAATAATTTAAATGTAATTTAGAATATTTGTCACATGCTATTTTTATTACCTTAATGTACTCTATAAATGCTGTTGTTTATGTAATGCTTCTATCATGTTATGTAATTGAAAAGAATGTGTGAATGTATGTCTTGTAAATTACATTATATACTTACAAATCATGTAATTTACAAGACTATATTAGTTTAATATCCTTTTTTATTTAATATGCCTTATAAATAGTGGCTAAAAGATCCTTGTTATGTCAATTGTTGAATTGGTTAGGACGAATGGAACATTTAATGTTGTACATGCCATTAGTCATTTTTATATGAATTTTCTACGTAATAATAAATGTGGAAAAATAGTATGGTCTGTAAAAACATTACAAAAAGTCACAGCAATTCCTGAATTTGTTTTATTCTGTTTTATCTATGTGATATGTTCCAGGATTGTTCTTTTTCGTTTGACGCTGATCAATGCAAGACCATTTTCCTTGGTGTTACATTCAAAATCCTTCCATGTCAGTATAACATATTAATATATTATCTCCTTGTACTTATTGACTAAAAAGTGACTTGAATTTATGAATAGGGTTTTCAATTTACAAACAACAAACATAATTATTATATTGTTAATTTAAATTGAATATATTCCAGTAGCCATAAGAGCCAACAAATTATTAATATTGAATATTGTTTCCTAAATCATTTAGCAAATTAAGATTTTCTTTAAAAATTATTTAAAAGACAATATTTTTATAGTATTTTTTTTCACTTTGTTAATTGATGTATCGAACTTCAGGAAAAATGTTCCCAATAAATATCAAATGACATTTCATCTTTTATTTCATAGTAAAAAGTGTTTAACCCGCGCACAACAGTGACAGGGAAAATCTGAGCTATTTGCCATACTGTTATATGATACTACATAAGTCAAACAAACTTTTTTTTATATAACAGATATATTTGTAAAATATTTAAAATAAATAAAATTCAACAACTACTTGTATTTGTTTAATCAGACCTACTGCTCCTTAGCTTTCACCTGCTTATTATCCTTATTGGCTATATACTTGAACACTTTGTTTGCTAATTGCCTATACTTCTCTGCATGGATGCTGTCGGGAAGTGCATATATCGCTGGCTTACCACTATTTATACATTCCGACATGTTTGAATCAACTTCGAAACTTTCGATGATCTCAAGGCCCATTTCATCAGCAGTCTTTTTAGTTTCATTACCAAATATGAAATTTTTGGTACCACATTTTGGACACATTGCATGAGACATGTTCTCCACCAGGCCAATTATAGGAACTTTTAATTTTTCAAACATGTTAACACCTCGTTTTGTAACTTGTAGAGCTGCTGACTGAGGTGTTGTAACAATAATTGCACCTAGAAAAGAAAGCCTTATCTTAATTTCTCAATATCATTTCACTATGCAATCCTAACAGCACCCCCAAGTCCACATTACAACGTAATAATATAATGTGTATATTTTATTTGTGTTGCATGTTTTATATACTGAATGACCTTTTTTACCGTCTGGAAAAAAATAGAAGAGTGTAAATTGTGAAGAGTAGAAGCCTATGGCACTGATATTTTACATATAATAAAAACAAACATTTTGAATTAAATAAATAAATTAATTAAAATCAATCGAAATTCAAATCATATCCAAACCCTACTTTACGAAAAGCAATGAAACAATTAACTTATAGTCAACCAAATCTAAGAAATACCTTTTGACGTTTCACATTAATCATTTCGCAATAACTTTGCACAAGCGTATTTACACTAGTCAAAATAACCTTTTACGTAAATCCGGCTAATTATGAAGTTATCTATATTTCATTACAACGTGTATAGTTTTTTATCACTAATTTAAATTGAAACAGCCTATAATGAATGCTATAAGAGACGAGAATGGCTATATTCTGAATGATGAAGTTTTGAGTTTAAAGAGATGGAAGGAATATTTTGAAAGCGTGTTTATGAGTGAGGAGACAATGTGTAAACTAAATGAAGTAGAAACTCCGAAAGGAGAGGAAAGAGGTAGAGAGATAAGTATAGATGAAATAATGAAAGCAATGAAAAGCATGAAAGCAGGTAAAGCTGCCGGATATGATAGAGTTTCACTCGAAATGCTAAGGGCTGGAGAGGAAGTGGTGGCAGGCCTGCTGCATACCTTATTTAATTTATGCTGGGAACTGAAGCGGGTACCGGTAGAATGGTGCAAAGCCGTGATAGTCCCAGTATATAAGGGAAAAGGGGAAAGGACTGTAAACATCCTATTTTTATAAAAACTACCGCGGTATCAGCCTTCTTAGCATTGTGGGAAAACTGTATGCTAAGGTGCTGATTGAAAGGGTCATGAAAGAAACTGATGAAAAAAGTTTGGGATGTGCAAGCGGGATTTACAAAGGGAATGGGATGTACAGATCAAGTCTTTTCCATGCGCATGATTGCGGATAAGTTTTTGGCCAAAAAACAAAAGGTTTTTTGTGCGTTCATGGACTTGGAAAAGGCCTATGACAGAGTGGATAGGGATGTGCTATGGCAAACACTGAATTCATTTGGGTTGAACGTTGGCTCGATACAGGCATTGGAGTCGCTTTATAAGGACTACTACTACTAGTAGTGCTTGTGTTAGGATCAACGGGGTCTTCTCGGACTGGTTTAGCATTCATATAGGTGTCAGACAGGGCTGTGTGGCTTCCCCGTGGCTGTTCAACCTATTTATGGACTATTGTTTGCAAAATTTGAAAGTTGAAGAATGCGGATTAAGAATGGGCGAGTTAACCGTCAAATGCATTTTGTACGCCGATGATAAGATATTCTTGCGTCGTCGGCGGCCGAGCTGCAAATGATGGTTACATTAATGAACAGATCATTAAAAGATTATGGTTTTTGAACGAGAAGAAAGTTAAGACGATATGTGAAATAAGAAAAGAAGGGGAGTTGATCGAGCAAGTAGATGAGTTTGTAATATCTGGGTTGCGTATTTAGCAGGGATGGGAGATTTGATAAGGATATAGAACGACACTCTATTGTGAAGAGTCAAAATGTGTCGAAAAAGGCACGTATTTTTTTTTATAGGATAGGGTGACAAACGAGCACACAGTCCACCTGATGGTAAGTGGTTGCTGCGGCCCATAGACATCTACATCTATCTTCCATTACAAATTAAAATGCAGATGCGTTGTCACCCGTGAGGACTGAGATGGAATGCCTCATTTCCAGTAAAAAGGGTCTCCGGTTCTCTACACTCACCATACGAAATACAGCAGCATTAAGCTACTATTTCACGGTGGTATTCTGTGAGAGCGTGGTCCTTCCCCGGTCGAGCCGACCCATTCGTGCTACAACTATACTACTAATATAATTGCAGCATGGCTCTACCACGTAAAAACGTATGGCACTTCACAATGCTGTGTTGGTCCCTACTTTAACGTATGGTAGTGAAAGTTGGGTGTGGTGTGAAAAAGCACGAGAGTAGAATGAACGCAGTAGAAATGCAGTCGTTAAGGAGTATGTTAGGGCTGAATCTGAATGACAGGGTAAGAAATTGTGTGATAAGAGAAGAGTGTGGTATGCAAGATGATGTTGTGACGAGGATTAAAAAAGGAATGCTTCGGTGGTTTGGTCATGTGGAAAGAATGAATGAGGAAAGAGTGACAAAGAAAATTTATGTTGCAGAAGTGAATGGCAAAGTCGGAAAGGGACGTCCTAGGCGAAAATTTATCGACCAAATTGGCGATTTATTGAAAACGGGCCAAATTAGGAGTACCCTTAACCGAAGAGCATGTATGCGTATGTGAAGGAGGCGAGAGAGGTATGGCAGGATCGTGCCAAATGGAAGTCTGTAGTCTCTGCCTACCCCTCTGGGTGACAGGCGTGAGTGTTTATGTATGTTAAATTCGAATCTTTCAAACAAAGCAAAATATTAAAAAATAACCGGTATGTAATTATAGATCGAAATTTAGACTGGAAAATACATATTGTTACGCGCCTAAGTCGACAGCACTAGCGCCATCTAGTGTCGGGTAACGGAGCGAGGGGAGAGCTTTCCAGATAATGACATCACTAATCTTTCAACCGACAGCGTCATCTGTTGTCGAAAAGAAAAACTAAGCTTCTGGAAGCTGACTCTCGAACTTTCGGCGCTTTGTCGATTGGTGCGCGTATTTACTTGAATGTTCTGGATGATTCGGTACTAATGTGTATTTATAGGCGCTGCAAGGTGCGATCGGTGAAGTATTGAATTTGGCGAGACAAGCGAAGCTTCGGAGCGGAATAAAGTGAATCAGTGTGATTAATTATTAGTGTTTTAAGTTTAATTAGTGTAAAGTGAATTAAAGAGTTAATTTTGGTAATTCTATCGGCAATTTTTATTGTCACGAACCTCAAGCTCGTAACAATATAGATGACCTGTCAAAGAGTTAATCGTTTTGTGTATGCACTACGTACCATAAAAAAGGTAACTAATAAAAAAACGGCCCTATTATGCTATCGGGCGTATATTAAATCTATAATTCGATATGTTATAATAATGTGGGGTAATAGCATAGATTGGCGTAGGGCATTTATCGCACAAAAGAAGTGTATAAGGAAGATATGTGGTATCCCAACTAGAGAATCCTGTAAGCCAATATTCAAAAATCTGTCTTTACTAACTATGCCCTCGTTATATATTTTAGAGATAGGTAAATTTGTAGAAACAGCATACATATTTATTTAAAAAGTCATCTGATATTAATCCTAGGCTTAAAAGAAATCCAAATAGATTAGTTCTAAGCGAAGTTCCGAAGTCAGCTAATTAAAGTAAATGCTGTTTATCAATGTGTGTACGTATATACAACAAAATACCTGATTAAATTAAAACACTACATACTTAATATGAACGTATTTAAAAAAAGATTATACCATTGGTTAATTGACAAAAATATTTATGACATTAATGAATTTCTGACATTTTAAAATAGATTTTGACATTGTAAAACATAATTATAATTTAAATAAACATGTTAATTGTTAATTTTAATACTATATAGGTTATCTTGATTTAAATATAATTTGCATGCTATATTATATTAAAATAGCAAAACATGTGGGCATAATAATACTCTGAAACATCTGTATAACTATAATTACCATGATTTATTCAAATAAAGACAATTACATAGAATTATTAGGCTTAGAACAGCAGTAAATTTGACAGACGCGAATATAGTGAAAATGTTGCTAGGCATAGTAAAATATTTTACCCCATATTTTATCATTGTAATTAAATGCTGCCAATATGGGACTATTAATGTATTTTTATTTGCCAAATAAAAATACCTACAATATTCACGCATAAGGTATTTTTATTTATTATTTAAATACTTGGGTTTATAGTTATTAAATAAATATTTTTAATTTCATGTTTTATTCGAAAAGTTTTTCTCCTTCCGAATCTTATTTCGTTTTAATACGAAACGCATATTCAATAAAGTATATTATATATTTATATAAAAATATAATACTACATTTATAATTACATATATAAATATATCACTTATAACAGAATATTATAACAGATAATAGATTTGTAAATATATATTATAGCAGAAGATATTACGTAAGTACGTAAATAATTTAAATAAAACATTAGTCAACAAATATTCAATTTTTAATACAAAAGGCCTATTCAATAAAGTAAATATATCATACTATATATACTGCAAATATATAATACTATATACATAGCGGTCCGTCACGGCGTCCCAGTCACCTCAGACGACCCGAGAGGCTGACTGAGATTAGCCCATTCGCAGAGCCGACTACAGGAATAATTTTGGTCGGCATACCACCCCACATGTCGGTCACCTCGTGAGCCAGGTCCAGATATTTTGTTCGTTTCTCTGTTTGGGCTTTCACAAGGTTCTCGTCATACGGAATGGTAATGTCGATCAAAAATATCCTTGACTGTGCCCGGTCCATCAGCACAATATCAGGCTTATTCGCAAGAATAGTCCTGTCTGTGATGATTGCCCAGTCCCAGTAGAGCCTGGCGCGGTCATTTTCGAGCACGGCTTCCGGCAAGTACTTGTAATACGGCAATTTTCGGTCCACGAGACCGTATTTCAGAGCGAGCTCCTGGTGTAGAATTCTGGCTACTAGGTTGTGCCTGTGCAAGTACTCAGAGTTAGAAAGCGCCGAACAACCGGAGATGACATGCCTAAGTGACTCCCCGGGATGGCGACAAGCTCGACAGACGTCGACAGTGCCATCCTTTAGGATGTATCTCCGATAGTTGTTGGTCTTAATAACCTGATCCTGTATTGCACAGACAAAACCCTCGGTTTCCCCGAAGAGGTCACCGAAACGTAGCCAGTTGAGGGAGGCGGCTGTATCTACGTGAGGCTCATGTAGAGCCCTGTAGTACCTCCCGTGGAGCTCCTTCTCCTTCTATACGGTCTCCCGGTCGGAAATGCTCTGTACTGCCGGGTCTTGCCATTGCTCGTTGGCTAAGGATAGAGGGGTAAGTCCTTTATCACTAGAAATGACGTAATTATAGAATGGATCATCCGATCTCGCCAGGAAGTAATGACGGAGGCTGCACACTTCGCGATTATGCATGGTGAGCGCGCTCAAAAAACCACGCCCATCATGCTTTCGCGGCAAGTACAGCCTCATTACCGACGATCTCGGATGATGCATCCTATGGGACGTCATAGTAGTTCGGACTTTTCTATCCAGGGCGTTAAGTTTAGTCTGAGTGCACCTGAGTATGCCAAAGGTATATATGAGAACAGTCATGACCCAACCGTTATATGCATGTGTCTACTGACTCGCCACAACATCCGTCCAAGGGCCCTCGTTGTGGTTTACGGGCTCTGACCACAGGCTGCGCCAGAATGCGACCGTGTCGCCCTAATTTGGTGCTGAGCCCGTTCCACTTAATAGTAAGTGGTTGCTCCAATGATCTATAGAGCCTCTTCTGATCACTCTGGAAGAGACGATTCTGGTTGAACCGTGTCGACCCCTCGGTATATCGCCGAATCCACTTTCCCCAAGCAGCGATTCTTTGCTTCAGGTCGTCTATGCGCTCCGTCAGTTTTTGCATTTTATCCGGCTGGGACAAACTAACATTTGTCCCAGCAAACGCCATCCTGACGGTGCGCACAATCCTTGGTCTGGTATTGCCTGACCTGAAGCATATCAGTCTGCCGATGCGGGCCCTAGCCTTTGCGATACGTTCTTCAATTCTTATTCTCCAGGCTGGGATAGCACTACTTTGTCCAGTAGCGCGTCCAGCCGTGGAAAGTTTGGCGCCTATAATAAGGCAAACTGCCAGTGCGGCGCCAAAAAGAATCGAGTCCGTCTCGCAAAGGTCCCGGCTGGCTTCCAAATAGGTAACCAGCATTGGGTTCAGAGCCCTCACGACAGCCCGATTCCGCTTGCTTAGGGCTAAGCGGGGAAGTCGCGGTCGATTTTCGAGAGGCGTACTGCGCGTTTCCACAATCGCCTATTCCAATGTACTCCTCATTTGCTCTAGTTCCAGTTCCTGGGCGACTGTTCCATCATCGTCTGAATCAACCACAACTGGCGTGTTCACGGCGGCATCCACATTTGCCGTTTGCTCAGCAAGTTGTGGTGCCGCATCCTCAGCCGCAGCATTTTCACCCGATGAACACCCTCACGTCGTAGCCGTTCGAGTTCGGTAACATCAAATGTATTTGAGCGCAAGATATACCGAACTTGGTCTGCCAGCTATTGCTCGGTGACGGTTACAGATGGATCCAGCTCAGCAAAGTCGATGCATCCTTGCCCGATACGCAAAACCTCCAGTTTCTCCCCCCTTTCGCCCTAAAATACGCCCGCAATGCGTTGCTGTTCATCTGGGTTGTCCAACGCATGCGGCGTACTCCACCAGAAGCGGGTGCCGATAGCTGGGCCCGCGAAGACCCTACCAACACCAAGCCAGCTGGTAGGGATGATGGATGCGAGGGGCTGCTGGGTGGTCGTGCAGCACCTCGCGCTCGGCAGCGGGTCGCATGCTGCCGCGTCCAGCGCCAGCTCCAGACGCGCTCTGGCGACCTCCAGGCAGCGGCCCTTTGCGCGTTCTATTTAATTCCATCATCCATTTTTAGGGCGTCATTTAGCGGGAGACGCCCATTATTATTATGGGGTATCTATATAGTTTTCTCATCTGGTTGGGTTCTATAAATATATAATTATAAATGAAAATGAAAAAATAAATATACATAAATATCAATAACATAAAATAAATATAAAAGTACATAAATAAATAAAAGCCCAACCAGATGGAGGCCCTCGGCAGGGGAGACCAAACGGCCGAGGGTTAGGGGGAAAGGGAAAGAAACCGGCGGACGATGCGGGCGGTATCGAGGAGCACCGCCTTCTGCATTTGAGCCCGGAGCGGTCCGCCACGTAGTCCCAGCCGCCTCAGATGACCCGAGAGGCTGACTGGGATTAGCCCGTTTGCAGAGACGACTACAGGAATAATTTCGGTCGGCAGACCACCCCACATGTCGGTCACCTCGTGAGCCAGGTCCAGATATTTTGTTTGCTTGTCTGTTTCGGCTTTCACGAGGTTCTCGTCATACGGAATGGTAATGTCGACCAAAAATATCCTTGACTGTGCCCCGGTCCATCAGCACAATATCAGGCTTATTCGCAAGAATAGTCCTGTCTGTGATGATGGCCCGGTCCCAATAGAGCCTGGCGCGATCATTTTCGAGCACGGCTTCCGGCAAGTACTTGTAGTACGGCAATTTCTGGTCCACGAGACCGTATTTCAGAGCGAGCTCCTGGTGTAGAATTCTGGCTACTAGGTTGTGCCTGTGCAAGTACTCAGAGTTAGAAAGCGCCGAACAACCGGAGATAACATGCCTAAGTGACTCACCGGGATGGCGACAAGCTCGACAGATGTCGACGGTGCCATCCTTTAGGATGTATCTCCGATAGTTGTTGGTCTTAATAACCTGATCCTGTATTGCACAGACAAAACCCTCGGTTTCCCCGAAGAGATCACCAAAGCGTAGCCAGTGGAGGGAGGCTACTGTGTCTACGAAAGGCTCATGTAGAGCCTTGTAGAACCTCCCGTGGAGCTCCTTCTCCTTCCATACGGTCTCTCGGTCGGAAATGCTCTGCACTGCCGGGTCTTGCCATTGCTCGTTGGCTAAGGATAGAGGGGTAAGTCCTTTATCACAAGAAATGACGTCCATATAGAATGGATCATCCGATCTCGCCAGGAAGTAATCACGGAGGCTGCACACTTCGCGATTATGCATGGTGAGCGCGCTCAAGAAGCCACGACCACCATGCTTCCGCGACAAGTACAACCTCATTACCGACGATCTCGGATGATGCATCCTATGGGACGTCATGGTAGTGCGGACTTTTCTATCCAGGGCGTTAAGTTCAGTCTGAGTCCACCTGAGTATGCCAAAGGTATACATGAGGACAGGCATGACCCAGCCGTTATATGCGTGTGCCTTATTCACACCGGACAAAAGGCTGTTAAGCACTTTGGTCAAGCGTGCATAAAACACGTCGCAAACTGACTGTTTCATACCAGTCTCATCGATACCGATGTTTTGTGACATACCCAGGTATCGGTATGTTTCAGCCTCGGAAAGGGTCCTTAAGTTGACGGGCATAGATAAGTCTACGCCCTCAGAGTTAGCAACCCTTCCCCTTTCAACATGGAGGACCGCACACTTATCCGTCCCAAGCTCCATTCCAATGGAATTGCTAAATTCACAAGTGATGTTTAGCAATTCCATAAGATGGGAGCGACTGGAGGCGAATAACTTGAGGTCATCCATATAGAAAAGGTGGGTCACTTTTGTCCCTCCTCTCCGTAGCTGAAATCCCCTCCCGGAGCCCTCCAGTAAGGTACTGAGAGGGTTCAGAGAGAGGCAGAACCAGATTGGACTCAGACAATCGCCCTGGAAGATACCCCTTCTTATCCTTATGTGGTTCTCCGCAGCCATCATCCGCTCGCCCAGATGACAAAGGATCGTACTCCACTGCCCCATACACTGCTCAAGGAAGTCTCTAACTGTACAGTCTATCTTGTACAGCTCGAGGACTCTCTTTAGCCATGTATGGGGCACCGAGTCGAATGCCTTTCTGTAGTCTATCCAGGCGGCGGAGAAGTTCCGACGGTTGCGTTTCACCACTTTGCCAATGACCGCGTCAATGAGGAGTGGTTCCTTGGTTCCACGACCACCGCCCCGACATCCATTTTGAGCGCGCGACATCACCTGATTTGAGTCCAGGTGACAAGTGATTCTCGCGCTCAAAATGGATGTTAGTGTCTTGTATATGGTCGGTAGACACGTGATGGGGCGGTATTTGGTCGGGTCTGTGGTACCCTGGTCTTTAGGAACCAAATGAGTGATCCCAGTAGTGATGAGGCTTGGGAGCGACTTCTGGTTGAGAGCCTCTTGAAACTGTCGGGCAAGCACAGAGTGACACACCATGAACCCCTTCAGCCAGTAGTGATGCAGCCCGTCAAGCCCCGGACTTTTCCAGTTCGGGGCCCTACGGACCGCCTCAGCTACGTCATCCGGCGTTATGATGACGGGGTCCATGGGCGTAATACCCGCACACTGACTCGCCACAACTTCCGTCCAAGGGCCCTCGCTGTGGTTTACGGGCTCTGACCACAGGCCGCGCCAGAATGCTACAGTGTCGGCCTGATTCGGTGCTGGACCCGTTCCACTTACCATTGGTCGCTCCAATGATTCATAGAGCCTCTTCTGATCACTCTGGAAGAGACGATTCTGGTTGAACCGTGTCGACCTCTCGGTATATCGCCGAATCCGTTTTCCCCAAGCAGCGATTCTCTGCTTCAGATCATCTATGCGCTCCGTCAGTTTTTGCGTTATATCCGGCTGGGACAAACTGACATTTGTCCCAGCAAACGCCATCCTGACGGTGCGCACAATTCTTGGCCTGTTGTTGCCTGATCTGAAGCATATCAGTCTGCCGATGAGAGCTCTAGCCTTTGCGATACGTTCCTCAATTCTTCTTCTCCATGCTGGGATAGCGCTACTATGGCCAGTAGCGCGTCCAGCCGTGGAAACCTTGGCGCCTATGATACGGCAGACTGCCAGCGCGGCGCCAAAAAGAATTGAGTCCGTCTCGCAAAGGTCCCGGCTGGCTTCCAAATAGGTCACCAGCATTGGGTTCAGAGCCCTCACGACAGCCCGATTCCGCTTGCTTAGGGCTATGCGGGGAAGTCGCGGTCGATTTTCGAGAGGCGTACTGCGCGTTTCCACAATCGCCTCTTCCAATGTACTCCTCATATGCTCTAATTCCAGTTCCTGGGCGACTGTTCCATCATCGTTTGAATCAACCACAACTGGGGTATTCACGGCGGCATCCACGTTTGCGGGTTGCTCTACCATTTGTGGCGCCGCATCCTCAGCCGTAGCATTCTCATCCGACGAGGGAACAGCCTCACGTCGTAGCCGTTCGAGTTCGGCGACATCAAATATATTTGAGCGCAAGATATACCGAACTCGGTCTGCCAGGTTTTGCTCTGTGACGGTTAAAGATGGCTCCAGCTCAGCAAAAAGACGATGCATCCTAGCCCGATACGCCAAACATCCAGTTTCTCCCCCTTTCGCCCCAAAATACGCCCGCAATGCGTTGCTGTTCATCTGGGTTGTCCAACGCATGCGGCGTACTCCACCAGAGGCGGGTGCCGATTGCTGGGCCCGCGAAGACCCTGCCGACACCAAGCCAGCTGGTGGGGATGATGGATGCGAGGGGCTGCTGGGTGGTCGTGCAGCACCTCGCGCTCGGCTGGCGGTTCGCATGCTGCCGCGTCCAGCGCCAGCTCCAGACGCGCCCTGGCGACCTCCAGGCAGCGGCCCTTTGCGCGTTCTTCCGTATTCCATCATCCATAGTGGTGGGCGTCATTTAGCGGGAGACGCCCAGACCCGGCGCCGTTTCATGGTGAGGCCATGTGCACAAGCGGGCCTTTGCACCTTCAATTTTTGCCGAGGCACGGCACTAACACCTCTTGGCAAGGTGCTGACTGACTGCGCTGACGTAGCGGTTTTGTCACATAACCGTTGCGTCAGCGGGCGATGGGGTCGTCACTTCCCTACGCCTTTTTACCATTATTTATATTATTACGCCATTATTATTATTATTAACTTTTTTACTTGACGTCGTTTCAACGATACGTCGCTATTTATCATTTCATTTTCATTTATAATTATATGTTTATAGAATCCAATCAGATGAAAAAACTATATAGATACCCCAAATTAATCTAAACAACGATAGCTAACTAATTGTACTGAAAGTGATTGAATAAATTTATTTTTAATCTAGTTTCAATTTATTTTTTAAAATTTTTATAACTGAAACTGACTTTCGAAACTGATAAATCTTGTGTTTAAAATTAACCGTTTTTGATTTATTCTGGTATTATTCAAACCAAACTGTAACTGATTACCAACTCTAAATAATCGATATAGATTTTTTTAAGAATCAGATATTGTACGTTCCCATTTTTTGGTTGGCATGCTTGGTGCAATAAGTCTGACAGCTGTCAAAATGTATTTCTTAGATTTGGTTGACTATAGTAGGCATCTTTGACCTTGTCACTTGGCAGGGTCACAGGCTCAAGGACGAAGGGCAAAGTAATAAAGTAAAAAAAATTAAACATTTAAATAACTATTCTACCCAAGGTTTGAGAATGCCATATAGCATTAAGCTTGCCTTTTGTACAATGTCTTTGATGCAATAAAAAATAAAATAAATAAATGACTTTTAGATGGTACTTGAAGTTGCAAGCTCATACCAGCAAGTGTACAGTTACGTGTGGAGTAAATGGAGTGAGATGTTGTATATGATACAAAAACATGATACAAAAAGAAGGTGGATGCTGGTGACTCAGAACCTTGTTTTGTGGTAATATATAAAGGAGGCTTGTGTTGTTAAGTGAACTTGAAATAAGCAGTGATGATACAGATGATTGTATCCCCATGGTAAAACCCTTACATGCACTTTTCCATCAGACTGTTAAAGCTCATGAAGATGCTGGTGCCAGTGGCGGCCTTAGGGTGGTGCGAGCCGTGCGACCGCACCGGGCGCCGAAATCAACCTAAACACTACCACCGGGCACCGATCACCAATTCATTCACTCTTATCACTAACATTCCGTTTTGTTGATACTAATTAGGAAGTCAAAGTACGAGTATTTTGTCGCTTACAAGCCAGTAAGTGACTCTCCGGAAAAAAGACTTAATGGCCTTTTTCTTGATGCAATTGTACAAGTGTTTGACTTAGACATGAATGATTGTCAAGGTCAAGGATACAATAATTGTGCGAACATGGCAGGAAAATTAAAGGTGTTCAGAATTTGACTCAATATTCTCGGGCATTTTTAAGTCTAGGTGGTTGAAGTTATTAGAACTTAATTTGCTCATATTCGCGAAATAAAATGAAATGAATGTGTCCTACACAGAGCACCTCCCAATCCCCCTGAGTTGCATATACTATTCCCGTAGCCTCCACTCCCAGTACCACCACACCCAACACCACCACACTAGGAGCGACACACTACTCTCGATAATTTGATACGCGTTTCGCCTCTATACGAGGCATCCACAGGTGAAGTAGTCTCTTTGGTGGCTGAAGGCTAAGTGAGCGGCGAACGGAAACATTTGCTATTTATACAACTCGCTGTTCAACAAGTTGTATAAATAGCAGCGTGTGGAGAGCGGAGAGAGTGCTAGGAGTGGTTGTGTTGGGATTAGTAGTGACAAAGATAGTGTCAGCCTCTGCAGAGCCTACTTTATCTGAGGATGCCTCGTGTGAAGGCGAAACACATGTCGTATTATCAAGGGTAGTGTGTTGTTCCTAGTGTGGTGGTGCTGGGAGGGGTGGCGCTGGGAGTGATGGTGCTGGAAATGGTGGTGAAGGGGATAGTGCACGCAACTGAGGGAGGGTGGGAGGTGAATGCTCTTCAGACAGGACAGGACACATCATTGTAATTTTTTACGCAGTAATGAAGATAATGATGAGCAAATTAAGTTCTAAGAACTTCAATATGATGGTAACAATCGACCAAAAACTAATGCGGAACTCTCACCTTAGGAGCATGTGTCATGTGGCTAAAAGTGTTTTAGGTACGTGCAGTTGTTTGATTGGGAACGACTGGGGCTTGTGTTCCAGTGTGATCTTATGGCTGTACAGCACCATAGTGAGACCGATTATGACCTACGCCTCCATTGTCTGGTGTAATATGGCCAACCAAATGGCGACTGCGGACAGACTAAATAGTCTACAAAGGACTGCCTGCTTAATGGCAACTGGAGAATGCGATCATCACCTGGAGCAGCTCTTAATACACTTCTGTGCCTAACGCCCCTTGATCTTTATTTAGACCAGGAGGCGGGGTCTAGTTTGTACAGGATTAACGCCCAGGGCGGTCTGCGCTTGCTTTCCTAAAAATTGAAAACCATGCTCGACTCGAACCTTATGCATTATCTCAGATATTGTGCGTCCAATATACACTTTTAATAAAAAGTATATAGTGGAAACACCCTTTAGAGAAGACTGGCTGAATGAACAGGTTATGTGTGAGGTCGGTAGCCTTATATGGTACAACAATGGGTCAAAATGGACGAACGTAACACGAAGTAGGCTTTAGAATTTATGGGGAATGTTAAAAATGTTCAAACTTAGTATGAATTAGATTCACCTCTATCTTCCAAGCAAAAATTTTCGTCATACTTCAGTGTGCGGAAATCAATTTGCAAAAACACAACGTCAATCATATCATCGCCTTGGGATGTAACAACAGGGTCATTTTCAGATGGGTTCCGTGCCACGCGGGTATTGTAGGCAATAAACGTGTCGATGAACTCGCACGGGAGGGATAAAGAGCATACAATTTGGAACCGAGTCATTTTGTGGAATCTCAAAAAGCCTAGCCCGATTGACCCTTGAAACTCTTTATCACAATAAATCACTTAAGATCTGGTCTGATACACTAGGCTTAAAACTTTACTTTCAAACCTTTAATTCGGGCTTTTGATCGTAAATTCTGGGATTAGGTAAAATTAACTGCGCATTCTGACAAGAGCCCTGACTGGACACTGTTGTCTTAAAAAGCACATGGCCATCCTGGGACTAAGCAACTCAAAGAATAGAATAAAGCGAACAAAAAAGCACACAAAAAGAAGCTATGCAGTCTGAATCTATGAATTTAGCAAAGGTGTTGTATTGTTTGAAAATTTCGTCAGAATTTTGAAATAGTACCGAGCCTTTTCATCTGCTCCAATAACAGATAGATCCAATTTTTAAGCCAGCCCGATTCCGAAGAAAGAACATATTATTTGTGTAAGACACCAACTGATCCCAAAAGAATTGTTTAAAATGAACGTTTTTAATCTGTAATTAATACAATTAAAAGTGCATTGGTTACTTGACTATTATAATTCTGTGATACAAGTTAATTTTTATACAAAACGAAAATAACTCCTGAGGTTAAAAAGCCTGTGTTGATCAGTTGATCAGATGGCCATTATGTGATTTGTAACTTGGTTTAGGAACTTATAAGCTTGAATCCATTATTTAAAGATCTTCAATCAGCAGAGCCACAAAAAGTTCTCAGACTTATTAAGAATAGTGATTGGCAGGATATTTTTCCTAAATGTGAAGACAGCGCTTCATACCTTGCTGACTATATCTGTATTACAACCATCGCTCAAAGGAAACAAAGTTTTATTATATTTTTAAAATCTACCTACGTTTCTATTATGTGTCAGAAAAGACTATAAAATTCATAGAAAATTCTATTGCCCATAAGTTAAACTATTTCTGATTAATAAAAAAAATTGCAAGTACATAAGCTAGAAAGCTGGCCATCTAGGTTTTTCATTAGGTTTATTGTTGGTAGTTCTTTTCTCTTTTTTAACACTGCAGATTAACAGTTTAAATAAAAGTTGTGTTAAGATTTTTAACTCTTATTATGAGAAATAATATGTACAACTAGATTCCGCAGCAAGGCAAGTGGTGTGAGCGGAATGGACAACATTTTTTTAATGAAAATAAGCAGAACAACTGCTATGTCAAGAGCGATAGACATAACTGTGCTTGCATATACACCTGCAGATATTTGATTTTTTTATACGATAGTGGGACAAACGAGCACACAGTCCACCTGATGGTAAGTGGTTGCTGTGGCCCATAGACATCTACATCTATCCTCGATTACAAATCAAAATGCAGATGCGTTGTCACCCGTGAGGACTAAGATGGAACGCCTCGCTTCTAGTACAAAGGGTCTCCGGTTCTCTACACTCACCATACGAAACACAGCAACATTAAGCTACTATTTTACGCTGGTATTCTGAGAGAGCGTGATCCTTCCCCGGTCGAGCCGACCCATTCGTGCTACAACTATACTTCTAATATAACTGTAGCATGGCTCTATCACATATAAAAAAAGGTCTAATATTATTTAAAATCACGAAAAAGCAACTGCATAGTATAGGAATGCCAATGGCTGGTGCTTGTATATGCACTATTGGGGACTTAGGCCACTTAACGTCGGGAGGATTTGCTTTAAGTGTCACACTTAACAAGCTGATTGACACTGTATTACCAGACATCTTGCATGTATGTAGTTGCTGCCCATGAACAGTTTGAGTTTTTTACATCTGACGTTAAAAAGATGGTTATGCTGCCAGCTATTGGAAGGCTTAAGATTCGTCTGATATTTTCCATAGCTGCTTTTTATGACAAATATTGGACAAAAAAGTTAATGAATTCTATTATGCTACTGCCATTCAAAACGCTACAACAGAACCTTAGGATGAGGTAACAAACGGCAATATTCGTAATAATCAAAATGTAAAGTATTGATACAAAAATAAATTATAAATGAAACAAACAAGATGAGCCCCATTCCTCTATGAGCCTGCTACTACTAACACAGCTTTCTACATTTTTTGCATGGTTTGTAGCCTCGGTCAATAGAAACAGAATCAAAAACTTTTTTTATTCAATATAGATTATAAACAATAGTTATTGAAAGTCAACTTTTTTCATTTACCACTGGTTCGCAAAAAAAACCTCTGTCCTGGGAAGAACCAGCAAGAAACCCAGCAGGACTATTTTTTTCCAAATAATAGCTTACATTCAGGTATGTTACAATTAACAACACACAACAAATTAGAAATAGCTTGGTCGCGATCACCCTTCCCAGGGGTTATTATCATCCATAAATTAATGCACAACACATGCAGGTGAATGAACATTTAAAGGGTCGGTGCATTTATTATTATACTCCATAACTAATGTGTAAATATTTACCATCAATTGGCAAGTTCTGTGCAAGTGACAAATGTGTGTCTCCTGTACCAGGGGGTGTATCTACTACAAGGCAGTCAAGTGGACCCCATGCTACGTGCCGTGTAAGTCTGTCTAAGGCTTGCATGACCATTAATCCGCGCCACACAACTGCATTTTCACCAGAAACTAAAAGGCCCATTGACATACTGAAAAAGATAATTAGCATATTAAAAATATGTAACATAAACTTTTATTGATAACTTTCGAAAGGTAGAAATTTTATAAAAGATGCTCCCTACTAATGAGAGACATAAAAGTGCAGAGTCCAAATAGCAGCAGATATTTGGACCAGGTCTCCCAAAAATATGGGTTTAGAATGAAAAGTTGTGAAGTTGTGAAACAACTGATAGGTGGCTAGACCACTGCCTCCACAACCACAAACACAGTACATGACATGCGAAGTTAGTAACACAATGGTCACATTATTTTGTGTCACAAAACCCACATAAACTGGGGACATAAGTCTTACTCTCTTTAATTACTTCCTTTAACTACTTACCTTCCACAATCATTTACCACATAGCAAATTGAAACCTCTTTTTAATTAGTACTACACAAAAAAATATTCTAAGCACACACCTTAATTTTCACAGTATCCTTATACTGTATAAGCATATTGTGAAAATTACTAATTAAGCTTGAGTTAGATTTAAATCTAAGACCAATGAAATTGTTAATTGCTATTTTAAGTACTGATTTCCCATGTGTTTGGCGGTGAAGGAAAACATCATGAGGAAGCCTGCCCTGCCTCACTTTAGTAATATGTAGTACAGTTAGTAAAATCATGGGATTATACAGGGAATTTCGATTAGATATGTATGTACCCAGACTGAAATTTCTAAATAAAATTTATGTGAATTATAATTACATGTCCTATCATTAAATAAAATAATAATAATTCATACCATTTCACACCATAGTTAAGCAGTGGTTCTATTAGGTTATCATCATTGAGCATAGGCTCTCCACTAATGTTCATCATGAGAGGAACAGATGGACCAAAAACATCTGCATCTAAGAGCCCAATTTCTTTATCTGGTTCTATCACTTTCATTGCACATGCAAGATTAACTGCAAAAAGTGGTAAAATCAAAAACTTTGTACAACCGACTTCAATATAAATAAAATGAGAACATCATCAAGGGATTTTAAGTCAGTTAAATATGTATTAATAAATGTGACTCAAAAATTACACATCAGATCTTGATCACATTTATATGGGATCACAGAAGAAGCACCAGCTTTAAAACAAAAAAGCATTATCAAAATCGGTTCACCCAGAAACGTTCTGAGGTAACACACAAAAAAAAAAAAAACATAAAGTTGAATTGAGTACCCCCTCCTTTTTGAAGTTGGTTAAAAAATTATATATTAACTGTCAAAATAACAAAAAACTGTAGTTGCTAGGCTGCCTCAAAGCTGGGCAACTATGGTAATTAAAGAAGAGGATATACATAGCTAATATATAGGGTAGCCCTACAATCAGCAGTTGAATTTTGATAAGCTGTAATGATGATCTTTTGGTAGTAAATAATTAGTTTTTAATAGTCCTCTTCTGCCAAGCTTATAAGTGGTAGAGCCACACTGCAGCTATATTATGGTTGTAGCACAAATAGGTCGGCTCTCACAAAATACCAGTATAAAATAGCACCTTAATACCGCTGTATTTCGTATGGTAAGTATAGAGATCTAGTGACTTTAACTGAAAATGAGGCATTCCATCTTAGTCCTCAAGGGTGACAACGCATCTACGTTTTGATTTTTAATCGAGGATAAATGATCATGTCTATGAGCCACAGCATCCACTTACCATCAGGTGGACTGTGTGCTCGATAGTCACCCTTATTCTATAAATATAAAAGCTTAGTACAAAGAATAATAATACCGAATATTTTAAAATCGAAAAATAATCTGAACAACTTCATTTTTTAATTTATAAAGGTTACTTATCTTTGTTTCTATGATATAGGTACACCATACGCAAAATAAAAATTTATTACCCGCAGTTGTGGTTTTTCCAACACCTCCTTTCCCAGATGCAACAAGGATTATACTTTTCACGCCCGGTAAAGGTTTCTTTTCTGGTAAACCACGACTCATAATTTTTGTTTGATGATTTTCAAGATCATTTTTGTTGTGTTTTAATCGAATTGAAAAAATAGACACAGACTGAAACAAAATCATAGAATACATATAATTACAAATTCTATAATGCGAACTGTGGTAATAGTGTCATCGTTATCAATATAATTTATTTTACTAAATTTACATACAGTTTTAATGTTAGTGATCAAAGACTGCCCCCAAACTCTGTGTATTATTCTTTGAACATTCATTATTGATGTTGATGATTAACCTCAATTTGCCATCAGTATAATAAATATTAATTGTGTATAAATATTACTATAGTCGCAATTTTTCGCAATTTGTCTTTTCAACTCTTCAGTTCGTATTTCGTTCCTAATTCCTATGACATGTGTCAAAAGTCAATTAACTGTCAAATGTCAACCCCGGGATCACAGTTTTTTTCCTGGTTTGGCAACTTCCAATAGATTTAGAATTGCCAACGTCAAGTAATACATACGTAGACAGAGAATGCAATAGACAAAGTGATATCTTTTGTCGCAGCCACATAAGAGAAAGAGCAACTTACGCCGATGTCGTGTAAAGAAACGAAATAGAACGATAAGATTTTTTTTTCGCTGAGCGTGCCGTGTTTTTCAATATTTAGCAAACCACTTTGATAAATAAAGATTGACAGATAACGTGTAGCGAGGTATCATCTTTGTATAAAATACAGATTTACGTGTTTTATGTTAAATATTTCATATTATATTATGTTGTATACAAGTTAGATATTAGGGTGTAAAAGTCATAGTGGAAGGAAAATGCCGGGGTTGTCCTTTCATTTGAAGTATACTTACATACTATTTATTTATTACACAGAATTTCGTTAATAGCAGTGTTAATTTTCAGGCTTACTTTACGTATTAATTTATAATTTTATAACTAGTTGTGGGGTAAATTTTTCCTCACACTTGTAAGCTTGTAACCCTAAATACAGTGACGTATTTTTTGTCTCTTTCACGCTTTGCCGATGTCTCGTAGATAGAGAAACCTATAGACTAAACATTAGCGTGGCCTCGAGTGAGAAAGGACGACAACATAGTTTTAGGTAATACAATAATACGAGATAATAATACGAGAAAGGGACAAACAATCACACCACTCTGTCTCATTTCTATGCAAGTCGTATGCATAAATATATCTGTTTCGTGTGCGAATGCGAAAGAAGGCGTCAATTTGTCTATAGGTTTCTTTGTCTACGCAAAGATCGGTACGTACAATGTTCGATTCTTAAGAAAAATTGATATCGATTCTTTAGAGTTGGTAATCATTTACAGTTTTGTTTTGATTAATATCCGAATAAATTAGAAAAGGATAATTTATAACACAACATTTTTCAGTTTCTTCGTATTTATTGTTACTACTTATTTATAGAGGCGAACTTAAGATTGAAACTTAAAAATATATACGAATACTTTCACTACAACTAGTTGAGCTATCATCGTTTATATTAATTTTGATTTTAATTAATTTGATTTGAATTTGATTTTAATTAACTCATGTCAAAAACACACGTATTCACTGAACGCATATTATACACGTACACGTATATTATATTATTACATATGAACGTAGTCTATATAAATCATAAAATATAATATTTAGGTTTATTTATTATTATATGCAACATATTTTTTGAATAAATAAAAAATATAATAATGATTATTTATTTTAAAACTATCATGGTAAACTAATTTCTTATATTTACGCGAACACTACTCATTGAAATGATTCTAGTTTTTACGGAATTTATCGCGTATATTTAACTTTTTAAATACCCGACGTTTCTGACCTTGAGACATACTGTGTATAGAAAAAAGACCCATACAGAGAGATATTTAAACGGTGATTCTCACCACCATTCTTCACAGTTAGCTACCGTGGGTAAATCTTTGTTTCAGAGAGCACGAGGGATCTGTGACAGTAAACACCTGGCTGCCGAGCTCCACCATGTCAAGCAATTTTGCATGAGTGAAGCCGGCCACAGTCAAGCGTGTACCTGCTGTACTGCCATATGTTAGAGGAGTCACTGACAAGATTGGCTACATCTTGAAGCGCGCTTCCATCAAAACATACTTCAAGCCGCTGAAGAAGATTGGTCAGTTTTTACCATCAGTCAAGTGTAATGTCACTCTGCAAGATGCAGGAGTGTACAAACTTGATTGTGAATGTGGTCTCTCCTACATAGGACAAACTAAAAGATCAATTAAAACCCGCGTTAAAGAACATATAGCTGATGTGAAGAATCGACGCTCCGGGAAGTCTGCAGTCTGTGAACACGTACAGGATCGCCCCCGTCACTACAACAGATTTGATAGACCACAAATCCTCGCTAAAGGACACCGATTCCTTCCAAGGATGATTCGCGAGGCTATTGAAATCAAAAAACATCCTAATTTCAATAGAGAAGATGGCTGGGTGCTACCATCTGCTTGGGATCCTATAATAAATAAAATTAAATCCCAACCCAAGCATACAACTGCAAGACTTCAAGATTCCATAAGTTCATACTGTGTAGATCGGAACAAAAGTTAAATTTTAACCTATGGTAACCGCGGTTAACTATGACATCTGGACGTTGAACATCACAGTCCCGCCCGTGACCATGAGTGCTGTTTAAAGCGTTCGAAACGTCGGGTATTTAAAAAGTTAAATATACGCAATAAATTCCGTAAAAACTAGTATTATTTCAATAAACTAATTTCGTTGAACCTTTTTACTATGGAGTGTAGAAGTAAGGAGTACAGACTGTGTATTAAAAAGTGTCCACAACAACCTTTAAATAAGGTGGCACCACTATATAGCTACGGGGAAAATTTTAAAGAACGCACCGAAAAATATTAGTGGACTTTTTCGAGGTTATATTAACTAAATAAAACTATTTTAGATTTTAGAGCTACTGGGCAGTTTAGCAGCACACTTCAAACCGTCGAAACTGCTAAGTTCATTTCATCCCAGTAGCTACTCCAGCGCTGTTGTGGAGAGTTTTTGTTACTACTGTTATTTACTGCTTACAGATGACCACTTTTTCAACTATTCTACTATGAGAGTTGGTACTGCTTACTTTTACACTCCATACTTTTTACTACTCCCAGTTGCAATTCTGTGGTCGTACTGCAATCAATTATCGATAGTCTTTATTGGTAAAATATATATCACTAGCTAACTCACAAAATGACAAATCAATAATTGTCACGCGTTACCAGGATGTGCTGATTTACCACGTGCTCGGCGGTGAAGGAAAACATCGTGAGGAAATCTGCATGTCTGAGGAATAAGAAAAAAATTATTTCAAAGACATGTGAAGTTCGCCAACACGCATTAGGGCAGCGCGGCGGACACTTCTTTGCTCTAAAACCCTCTCGGAAATGAGGGGAGGCCTGTGCCCAGCAGTGGGAAGTTATAGTCTGTAACTTTACTTTACTTTACTACTTTTACCTGGATGTTAAGCCGTCTCTACGCCAGTATCGTAGACAGAGAAACCTATAGACAAATTGACGCCTTCTTTCGCATTCGCACACGAAAAAGATCAGTAAAATCACGCCTATGAAATCCTGAATTTCTTAGTAGTACAGACACGTAGACAGAGAAACATATAGACAAATTGACGCCTTCTTTCGCATTCGCACACGAAAAAGATAGATTTATGCATACGTCTTGCATAGAAATGAGACAGAGTGGTGTCATTGTTTGTCCCTTTCTCCGTGCTGGTTTTTTTGTTTAGCAAACTACACTTTGTTAAACTGACAGTTCGTAGCGATCTAAGGAGTTCACAAGTTGGTTTAAGTGAGAAAAAAGTGTTTTGTGAGCTTAAGATTGGTGAATCTTGTTCAGTTCAGTTCTTAGAACAATTAAATTTTTTATCTAAATATGTTTAAAAGTCATAAAAATTATTGTATAACCTAAAACTACGTCATCGTCCTTTCTCACTCGAGGCCACGCTAATATTAAGTCTATAGGTTTCTCTATCTACGGCCAGTATATATCATATTCCGTAGACAGAGAATGTTATTTTCTGTCTACGTTATATTCTAAGTATATGATTGTGAGGCGTAATCATAAATATATATATATATATATATATATAGTACTTTCCTCTAGTTTTGTGCTTGCGCTGTCAATACGGACAATGAACTCTATTAAAATTTATTATCTAATACAGAATGATTTTCTCAATCAGTCAGTCACACAGACACAAAAAATATTAAGCGTTAGTGAAAAATAATTCCATACCAGTAACATGTGATAATAAAAAGCATGCAAGGACGCCATCAGTATTAAAACATTAATAAAAGCACATATAGCATTTCTCAATAGTTGTTATAATATAACTTCATTTTCATAAAATTTTCACACGGTTGCAAATTTGCAAGAGCCATAACGAAATCTAGTAAATGTTTGTTTGTAAGTATAATAACGAACAAAAGTCCAATGTAATTTGATTTGTTACATTGAACAGGCAAATCAAGTTGGTCCGTGAGGAGTGCAGGGAGTGCACGTTAGCTGCAGTGGCGGACGTGTGCTGAAACACGGTATGTAGCCAGTCTATATATAGAGGTCAGTGAAGTTGAGACTGTAAAGCAATTGACTGAATATTCGGCGATCATGTTTGCCGTGTAGTGGCGGTTAAGAATATCCACTACCCCATATCTTCCCGTGGGTGTCGTAAAAGGCGACAGAGATGGGCAGCAGCATCTTCCTGATAACAGCAACTGTACAACAAAAACTGCGGTTGCCAACCCGCTCGCCAAGCGTGGCAACTATGACAATATACCCCCCATGAAGAATTACACAAATAGACGGCCCCCAGTCCCCGGCGACCCCGCTATTCCTGGCTATGGTGGCGACCATGGTAACGGCTGGGCAGGGGTGTTAAGAATCTCCGGTGGAGGTTCGGTTTCCATCTACGATGACTCGACCTGGTAACATTTAACGCACGTACCCTGAGGACTGACGACAAGATCCTGGAGCTCGAAGAAGAGATGGACAGGTTGCGCTGAAATATTATGGGATTATCCGAGGTCCGAAGAGAGGGGGAGGACACGGTAATCCTCGAGTCCAGCAACTTGTTCTATCACCCGGAGGGCGACCATCTGTCCCAAGGAGGTGTCTGATTTATCGTCCACAAGTCTCATCGTCAACAACGTTGTAAAGATTGGGAGTGTGTCTACGAGGGTCACGTACCTGATACTCAGAATCACCAAAGGGTATTCGCTGAAGGTCATACAGGTTTACGCACCAAACTCGGCACATCCCGATGAGGAGGTGGAGGAAATGTATGAGGATATGTTCAGAGCCATGCATTCCTCCAAAACCTACTACACGGTGTTGATGGGAGACTTCGACGAAAAACTGGGCACAAGAAAGAACAGTGAGCTGAAGGTAGGGAAATTTGGGATAGGGCAACGGAACCCAAGGGGCCAGCAGCTGGCCGACTTCACGGAGAAAGAGGAACTTTTTATGATGAACTCTTTCCTCCAGAAGCGGCCCCACAGAAAGTGGACCTGGTCGAGCCCCGACGGTTCAACAAAAAACGAGATTGACTTCATTATGACGACCAGACACCAACTGTTCAGTGATGTCTCAATGATCGCAAGGGTAAAAACTGGCAGCGATCTCCGAATGGTTAGAGGCACACTGAACCTAAACGTTAAGTTGGAGAGGTCTCGTCTAAATGAGAGGTCTAATGAAGTCAACGCTCCGTCCCCCCTCGTGCTCTAATCCAGAATTTCGAAACCTTTCAGCTCAAGTTACGTAACCGCTTTCAGTGCCTAGAAGATTGCAATGCAGTGGACGATATGAATGACAAGCTCGTGGAAAATGTCCATGCGTTCGGAGCTAAGTTCTGCTAGACCCACCGCAGAAGAACACAAAAACTCTCCGATCACACTCTTATCCTTATGGATGTTAGACGGGAGATGAGGCTGCAATCGTCAAAAGATTTGACAGCATACAGGCAACTGAACAGACAGATCTCCAAATGCATGCGGCGAGACTTACGGAACTTTAATACTGCTCGTATTAAAAAAGCGATCGAGCGGAACCAAGGCTCCAAAGTCTTTGCCAGAGATCTGTCTGCCAGAAAGAGCCAACTGTCAAAGCTGAAGACTGAGTGTGGCAGCATCGTTTCCGAGACACCTGAGATTTTGAGTGAGAATGGAAGGTTCTATGGGCAGCTGTACACATCATCGTTGGAGCCACACGCAAGTGTGAGTAACGATCCAAGAGCAAGTCTTATCCGACACTATTCCGATGATATCCCGGACGTCAGTCTGAGCGAGATTAGAATGGCTCTCCAACACCTTAAAAACGACAGGGCCCCAGGCGAGGATGGAATTACAGCGGAGCTTCTGAAAGCGGGTGGAACACCGGTACTTGAAGTCCTTCAGAAGCTCTTCAATTCCGTCCTCCATGGAGGCACTACTCTGGAGGCGTGGAGCAGAAGCGCGCTGGTCTTGTTCTTTAAGAAAGGTGACAACGCCCTCTTGAAGAACTACAGACCGATATCCCTTCTGAGCCACGTCTACGTGCTGTTTTCGAGAGTCATTACGAATCGTCTCGCACGCAGACACGTTGACTTCCAGCCTCCCGAACAAGCCGGTTTCCAAAAAGGCTTCAGTACCATAGACCACATACATACCCTGCGGCAGATTGTACAGAAGTCCGAAGAGTACAATCTGCCACTTTGCCTGGCGTATGTGGACTATGAGAAAGCCTTTGATTCCGTAGAAATTTGGGCGGTGCTACAGTCCAACAGCGGTGCCAAGTTGACTATCGGTATATCGAAGTGCTGAAGTGTACAGTAGGGCTACGATGGCTATCCGAGTACAAAACCAGAGTTCGAAACCTATCCAACTGCAGAGAGGTGTAAGACTAGGTGACGTTATATCCCCGAAACTCTTCACCGCTGCATTGGAAGACGTTTTCAAGCTACTGGACTGGAAAGGATACGGTAGTAACATCAATGGCGAGTACATCACTCACCTTCGATTTGCCGACGATATAGTCCTTATGGCAGAATCGCTGGAGGACTTAAGCACTATGCGCAATGACCTCAATGGTGTCTCCCAACGAATAGGTCTTAAGATGAACATGGACAAAACAAAGATCATGTCTAATGTCCATGTCACACCTATGCCGGTAGTTGTTGGGAGCACTATGCTCGAAGTTGTTGACGAATACGTTTACCTGGGACAAATAGTCCGACTAGGTAAGTCCAACTTCGACCGAGAGGTCAATCACCGGATTCAACTCGGCTGGGCAGCGTTCGGGAAATTACGACACATCTTCTCGTCAGGTATACCTCAATCTCTGAAAAAAAAGTGCCCCATAAGATGGCCAGTGCGTGTTGCCAGTGATGACTTACGGATTTGAGACGTGGTCCTTCACTGCTGGCCGTATGAGGACGCTCAAGGTCGCTCAGCGAGCTATGGAGAGGGCTATGCTTGAAGTTTCTTTGCGTGATAGACTCAGAAATGAGGATATCCACAGTAAAACCAGAGTGACCGACATAGCCCAACGGATTAGTAAGCTGAAGTGGCAATGGTCCGGCCATATAGCTCGAAGAACCGACAACCGTTGGGGAAAAAATGTTCTCGAGTGGCAAGTAGCAGTAGGCGAAGTGTAGGGCGAGCCCCCACTAGATGGAGTGACGACCTGGTAAGATATACAGGAAGTCGATGGATGCAGGTGGCTCAGGACCGTGCTTTGTGGCATTACTTGGGGGAGGCCTATGTTCATCAATGGGTTCGTGAAGGGCTGTAATGATGATGATGATGATGAAGTATTATAAGTACAAAATTTTCAAATACTACGAGTTCGAGTCTCCTATCTTTTCGGATGATATACTTAATTAGACGTTATTGCACTGATATACCTAACATGTATACTTTCTTTGATGACTCATTTCAACGAATTTGATCAAGACATTGTTGAGCTCTTGTCCTATTGACATACTCACCGACTCTCCATTCGCTCAGCGTTCGAAATTTTTTTTTATAGAAGACGGGACAAACGAGCATACTAATAGTGGTTAATATAGCGCATAGCGATATATTATAGGGCGCTATCTCTCCAAAGCGCGTGTTACGTAAGTAGTCGCCATGGCGCGATAGTAGTACTATTATCTAGCGGCAACTAGTTCTAGCAGCAGCGCTGTTGGGTGTGGACGTCTGACGTAAATTTGATCTAGTAGCACGCTATTCATCGCGCGCGACCTAATTTAGTGTTAGACGTTGTTTGGTTACGTGTATACTGTATTATAAGTGATCGAAGGACACAGTTGTCTACTACAAAATAAGCCTAAGTAATGTTTTTGAATGTAAATAAAATATAGATACAAAAGTGTGTATAATAATTTATGTAAATAGTTGATATTTGTATATACAATCAATAAACTTTGAAATACACCTTTAATTTATTTACAATTATTATTAAGGTTAAAATTACCTTTACATTGAATAATAAAATATAATTTATTTTATTTTGTTTTTAAAGTACATGCATTAAAAATATTATTAGGATAATAGAAAATCGTAAGCCTGAAAAGTATGAAAGAGCGTTCATTGGTTTTTCTTTATCGCTTTATTTTATTTTGGTATAAAATGCGATTTCTTACGAAATAATGTTCCTATATAGTACGCGGTCTATCCAACGAACGACAACGTACGTACGTAGCGCGTAACGTGCTACGAGATAGAGATGGGCTGAGTGATGATTTTTCTGTATCAATGACTACATGAAAATGACAAAAAAATATCGGTGACGGGAACAATGACAAAATCATCAATGATTTTTATCTGAGTATTAGAACTCGTCACTTCAATTGTGACTAGATACTAAAATGATCGCGGAACGGCTTATTGAAATTATCATTAGTTATTTATGGTCGCGTAAATACGCACCTCCCCAACAAATAAGTAATATTCCAATCTTTCCTTCATGCTTTTTCCAGGCTTAGGACTGGCAGAGACTGGCAAAGTAATAGTACTTAGTAGGTACTTACCTAATAAAAAAAACTATCATTCTGCTTTTCTTTGGCGCATTTAAAAGATTGGTATATTTACAATGATCAATTATCAATAATATTTGTTATTTAATTTTTTTTTGTTTTTTGTAATTTTTTGTTTTTTTTTTCTGTAGAAATATTTACATTTTCTTGCCCGCTGTACCCAATTATTGGCTACAATTGACGTTTAAAAACATTAGTTGTTTAACTTTTGCAATTCCTAGACGAGTGCGTCTTTCAGTTACCATGGTACCAGCTCGTGAAAATACCCTTTCACAAGGCACTGATGTTGCTATCACACAACATTTATTCAGAACTAATTTTGCCAAATTTGGGTAAACATGCTCATGATTTTTCCACCATTGAAGTGGAGTGTCGTGTTCTGATCCCATTAAAAGGATGTCGTCGTCCAGGTACCTTTGAACCTCCGCAATCGCTCTTGACAACGGGGTTCCTTTAGGCTCTATTTTGGCAATTGCTGTCCTATATATATTCCATATAGATGGTTCAGTATCTCTTGTGTTTTGTGTCGTAGCTAGTGCTGGAGCTGTTGGTTGTTTTGCCTTTGCAATTGTCTCAGCCACTAATTCTATAACATTTTTTTTTGTTTCTTCAGCCTGACGGTATGGAAACATGAAAATTTTAAATCGGGGATCTAAAAAGTTCGATAACGCAAGCGTTCTACTAAATTCCAGATTACGAAATCTTTCAGAAGTTTCCTTTTTTAGCCTTTTCAAAACCACTTTGACAACATCATGCAGGCCATCTCTTAATTCCAATGTATCTAGTGTTCCCAAAAGGCCCTGCGTAATTGGAATCACTTCTCCACCCATGAAATATTTTTCTCCACTCATGCGCGTAGATACTTCATCGAAGGGTTTAAGCACGCACTGCAAATCTTGAATAATTATCCAATCATTTTCTTCAAGATATGTACCTTTGAAGTTGCTGAGTAGAAGTGTTGCAGTTACAGCCTCTCTAAGTTCAGCAAACCGCTGCAGCATATGAAATTCAGAGTTCCACCGAGTTTCCAGAGATTGAGTAAGTTTTTTTTGCTGTTTTCGCCTCTGATTGTTGTACTTGATATTTTACAAACTTTTCTGTGGCCAAAGCGCTACGTTTGTAAAAAGCTACAATGTTCTTCACTTTGGTGATCGTCTGTTGCAAATTTTCAACGTTTAATCCACTCTTGACAATTAAATTTAAACAATGTACATAACATCCAAAATGGCGCCAATTCAGCTCACTCGTGATAGCGGAAACTATATTACTCGCGTTGTCAGACACAACAATGGTTATTTTGCCTGTAATGTTCCAAGTCGATGCACATGTCCTTAATTGACCTGCTAAGTTTATGGCGGTATGATGTCCATGGAGTACTTCACACTGCAGGAGAAGCGACTTCAAAATGTAGTTTTGGTCGATATAATGAGCTGTTATGGCCATATATGACTCATTTGCTTTTGATGTCCAGCAGTCGGTAGTAAGGCATACACTTGTTGCTTCTTCAGTAATTTTTATTTTAGTTTCATTCAAAACTTGCTCGTACATTGATGGCAGTAAAGTGTTTGAAAGGTACTTACGACTAGGTAGTTGGTAAATGGGATTTAAACCATGAACAAATTCAACAAAGCCCTTGTCTTCCACAATGCTGAAAGGTTGAAAATCTAATATGAACAATTTCATTAGCAGTTTATTTAACCTTTCCTGTTCAGATGGTGTAATTTTTTTTCTCTGAGTGAATTGAGCAATTGTAGGTTGACGAACTAAAGCCTGCTGAATAACGCGTGGTTGTGGCAATGATTGACCCTCGGCTGAGTCACAAGCAGAAGAAGCAACAACAGACGAAAGATTTTGGGATCCTGCTAGATTAGAAGGGCCACCTTCCTGTTCCAAAGGTTGTTCTGAAATGTGTTGGTGCATCATATTCCTCCGTACATCTTGAATTTCAACCGTAGGGTGTTTTCTTAAAATATGTTTTTTTTAAATTTGTTGAGGAAGTTTTATAGGATAATTTTACCCTGCACAATTTACATACTGCTGTTTTTTCACCAACAGATTCAATGTCAAAATGTACCCATACGTTGGATGTTTTTCTTACAGTTGAAGCCATTTTGGAATATTTAGATATAAACTGAGAACATAGCACTAAACCTTTCTTGCCTATAACTATAAGATAGAAAAATATAATAAATAAGTCCACCCACTGTAGAACGTTACGATACACAGTTTTTTTTACAAAGTACACAAAGTACTAAGTAAGTACCTACCTAAACGCTAAATGTGTAAACTTCGTTTTAAAATCAATGATATAGGTAACTTCACTAAACTAAATTCACTATAACGTATCAAAAAGCCAATTATAGCGAGAACACGTAACGTATTTCGTTGGTAGTCTTCGTCTAACCAAAACAATGATTCACGCGATACTAATTGCTAGATAAAATAGCATTCGTAATTTGCCGTGCATTTCGCGCGCAAACGTAAAAACAACGCAAGTAAAAGCATTGTTTGTTGCCGTTCCGTGCAGTGTGCTGTGCACCCCCGCGCCGGTCATTTTATCGAAAATTGTAAGTTCTGTGACTTCAGCCAGTACCTACTACCTATCGCCGATCGCGAAGTCTCGCAACGTCGCACGTCACAGTCACACCGCAGCGCCCGAGGCATCCCGAGACCGCCCGATCCGAATCACCGAAGCGTTCATTCATTCAAGAAATGATTTAAAAGCATTGATGATTTTGTCGTTGTCATTTCGTAATGACATGATTTTAAAATATCGATGATTTTTACGACTTTTCTACTACGAGATATAGCGGGCTGCAAAACTTAACGCGCTTGCCGGCCTCCTACACGCTTTCTTATAAATAGCAAGTTAATTAATTAATAACATTAACACGCTAGAAATTTATAGTTTATAGTCTATAGCGTGCTATTGATTTATAGTCATTTTGAACAACTTTAAAGCATACGGTTCACCTGATATTAAGTGACTACCGCCACCCAAGAACATCCGCAACACCAGAGGATTTGCAGGTGCGTTGCCAGATGCCGGCCCTTTAGATAGAAGTAAGCTTTTTTCTTGAAGGTTCCCAAGTCGTATCGGTTCGGAAAATGTTTCTTTTAGTACAATCATTGATATACTAAAAATTGTATATCAATGAATACAATGCTAAAATAGGTACGTTTGTTATTCGTTTCGGTCGAAAGACTATTTTCCTCTATGTAGTAGATGCACAAACAGGGGTAAAGACTATGAATATATATAAACATATATAATATATATTCATATAATATAGTCATATATATTCATATAATATATATATATATATATATATATATATATATATAATATAATATAGTCATAAAGAATACTAAAGACGCGAGTGACGATGTCACTCGTGAATCTGTGATTCCCGTTAGATTTGACGGGACAGCAAGGTTGGCAACGGGAATAAATTGCGTTCAACGGCTAACGGATTTTTTAACGGGATAACAAAAATTTATGTTTTTTAGATTTGTTTTCGAAATAAAAATAATTTGGAAATGGCAAAAATTAAATTATAATTTTATTAATTTTTTTAGTTTAAAAATACAAAAAAATGTGCAATACACTCTTATCTTTAAAATGTTGAGAGAATAAATTTTCGTTTGACGTAATTCTTTTAAATACAGCTTTGAAACTGTTTTGTCGTTAGTCGGCCAAATTAATGCGCTACTGTTGAATATATAGAAAACTATCAACTACTCTATTTATTTCATTCTCTCTCTTTACTGTTTGAGTCGCATATCCTGTGAACCTGTGATATCCTTGAAAGTCAATAAGTTTTATTTCGATAAAATGACTTTATTACCTATAGCATGTAGTAGATGGTGCTATTATAAATCTCAAATAGAAAATGATCGGTTCCCAATGGATCTCACAGAGTCAACAGAGTACTGGAGCTCGAAGTGATCCATTTGAATATTTGATACCAGTAAGCGTTACGAAATGTACTAGAATGATTCGGTCACTAGAAATGAATGATTGATACTTATCTACCGTACATGACGGGAATTGACGGGATTATTGTGTTCTCTACAACGGGAGCTAGATTTTAATCATAGATTACTGTGTATATACTAGATTTTAATGTTGGCAACACTGCTATAAATGCCATGTGCGGCTCGTTTGATTTTGACATGCGTAAAATAGAATAGATACAAATAATGAATATAATAAAGACGAGTACTACATAATTACGACATATTTTGAATTTTTCTCAAATTAATAAAATTAGGGGGTTCACGATATTGATGTGAGAATGGCTATCTGTTTGCGTACGTTTTCACATAAGATTTTACCTATAAATAGCATCTTTTCTACAAGAAATCATTCCAACCGTTTGTCCCGGAAAATTCCAGTACGCACTCAGTTTCTGGAAGATGTATGTAATTACTTTACAATAAGCTTAGTAATTATTTATAATAATAAGTTTATGAGTAAAAGTCACTTTGAAACGTAATATCTGTCATTAGGTTAGGACATCTCTTGACCTCGAGCTAATCTAATTTATCCATTACATTTCTTGTATTTTTTTAGTTCCTCGATTACCGGCGTATCTCTAGTTGCCAGCATGCAGTGAAATGTGTCTCAGAAAACAGTGACAGTATAGACCCTGACGATTTTGTTATAGCTAAAGGAGTATTTGATGTTTCAAATAATTCATCAAAAGGATTCTTCAAAAGAGATACTGTCGAAGCCAATTATGATATAGATAATTGTAGCGATATACTAGAATTTAAATCATTAGGTTTAACCTCAGATGATTTTGTTGAACAGAAAGCAGTTCATTTTAATTTGGATAAAAAGCCTTATAGTTTGAATACTATAGACTTCAGCAAATGTAAAGAAGTGAGTATCACATTAATATTATTATATTTAATAATTTAATGGAGTGTTATTAATCATTTAGGTTAATACAATAGTTTAAAGTTATTCTTTTATACCGTGTGGATTTTAAATCTGCTAAAATTAGTATAAATTACATAATATCATGTTGTATTCTTTTTAAATTTATTACTTATTTGAAATTATTTAATATTTGTGCAAAACATATTGTTATAGCTATTAACTTTTAAATAAAACATTCCAAGGTGTTTTTGTTATGTAGTATTTATTCCAAAAGTAATAAACATAATTGAAAATAAATTATATATATATATATATATATATATATATGTATATATATAACTTTAATTTTGATATATTTAATAAAAATATTTTTTTATATAGCTAGGTAATACTTTGGTGTCATTTTTAACTTTTGTAGGATGTGGAACCTATCTGTCTATCAAACTTTGAGAGAGATGCTATATTATACTGCACGGCACCTACACTCCAATCAACTGACACACAGTCATCCAGTGAAGCTAATCAAGATGGCAAGCCCAGTGAAGAGCAACTTATGAAAGTGTTTCATGTCCTTTCCAAAACTGTATGTTTTTTCACATTTTATATTGTTGTTTTATAGTGTGTAGTGTGTACTAGTCAAAAAGTTGGTGGTGATTCACCTGTACCTCGGAATATTAAATCTATGATGATAAAAATTGATTAGTCTAATATGCAAGGCAGGCTTTTTTACAGACTCCACAAAGTATTTCAATAAAAAATTCGGGCGGGTATTCAATTCAACCATATGTTTTTTTTAATGTGTGTTATAACTTTTCTCTAGGTGAACTGATTTGAAAGCTGGTGCTTCTCGTGTGGTACCATATAAATTTAATCAAGATCTGACTAGTGGTCTTTAAAAATGCATATTTAATTGACTTCAAATACATTGATTAGGTTGTATTGAAGTTGGTTATACAAAATTTATAATTTTTCTACTTGTAATTAAATTGAAGTTTGTTACACAATATTTTTAATTTTACATTTTTTTATTTCCTTACTTTATGTTCAACAATGACATGGAGATATTTTTTCAGATGCCTGCGCTATTTGTCAAGCCTCTGGATTATTCAATTTACCATCCCAATCTGATTTTTGTTAACAACATCAGGGGTATTACAACTGTGTAAGTATTTTTTATACACTTTATTAATCATATATGTTAGAGCCATGCTGCTGCTATATTGTGGTTGTAACACGAATGGGTCAGCTCGACCGGGGAAGGACCACACTCTCACAGAATACCAGCATAAAAACTGCTGTGCTTAGTATGGTGAGTGTAGAGATCCAGAGACACTTTTTTACTAGAAACAAGGCATTACATCTTTGTCCTTAGGGATGACATTGCAACTGCATTTTGATTCTTAATCGAGAATAAATGTAGATGTCTATGGGCCACAGCATCCACTTACCATGAGGTGGACTGTGTCCTTGTTTGTCACCCTTATTCTATAAAAAAAATAGATTATACTTGTGAACAGGTGCTGGTACACTTGGATTTGCTATGTGCACATATCACAGAAATAGTAATAATAAGACAATAAAAGTGAATTAGCGCTCGATTACTTCCGAAACCGATGTCGCCACCTGCAGCTGTATTACAAACATACGCATTGCACAATGATATCTAATGTTTCACATTACATTGCTCGGTGAATTTGTCAACGTCGCTTATGTCGCGTATTTCGATCGAAAACAAAAGCAGCAATGGTAATTGTAAATAAAAAAGTAATAAATGAAAGTTTACAAAGATAAATATCATAATAAAGTATTCATCTAGATGTAAAATTAGTTATAACTATGATAATTAGTAAATAATCATCTTACTGATGAAATTTTATGCCTTTATTAGTTAAATTACAAGTCCTTGATGAGTTTTTACTACTTTTTTTTACTATTATGCTGCAGTTCACCATTAAAGTAACATAAATTCACGTACGACGTTCCCTGCACAACTAAATCACGCGCCTATGCGACTTCTATTGTCTTAATAATAAGATTTCTGTAACACAGATTGTCTCTATAAAAAAAGAATTTTATTACTCTTTGTAGAAAATGTATATTTTGGTTGCCAGTGTTATATTTTGACTCATCAATCATGAAAACTTATCTTGAAACAAGAGTAGATTAAAAAAATATGCTTGTTGAACAAACCTTTTGATTTTTTACATTGACGAAATATTCTAAAAGCCTATTATTAGTTAGTTGAGTCTTTCAATAAATCCTATTGTTTTAATCTTTACTTTCAGAGGTTTATTCCCGTATGTACGGCAGGTAGCACTACTTCGCACAGTGGGTCATTTAAAATTTGCATATGTTAACTTTGAAGTTTTAAAAATAACAGCACATCCAGAAGATTCTTCTATTAAGTAAGTAATGATTATGAAATAAAAATATTTTACCAAACAATAAATAAAAGCTTGTGACATGAAATTATATACTTTGTTTCTGTAAAATTTAAGTGATAAACAAATGTTACGGTCCTGATGATAAGTCGCCTATGAGCTCCTGTTACCAAGTTCAAACAAAAAATGTTAAAGATAGGCTGCTAGATGGATAGCCTGGAAGGACTATAATATAATGCCTCATAGCTTATAATTATGGCTTTTTAAATTCGTCAGACTGTAACACATCAACGCATGTGCAGTTGTCTTATGACCAGCAGTGACGACCAGTCACCGATACAGCTCCTTTACGAACTTCACTGCACATAAACCTCACGGACTGATAGTCTCTCAGGGACTCAAACTTGTATTGTTCCACTTTTCATGTATTTTATTTATATATATCATGATTAATATTAAGAATTTATTAATTTATTATGATGTAAATAAAATTCAATATGTTTCCTTAAAATAGGCCACTCTCATGAGATGTTAAAATTATATATTTCGTACAAATTTAAAGTATACATATCTGTAATTGCAGAATGAGGTGGCGAATCCGTGGCATATCTGGTTTCAAAGTGTTCTTTATGTTCTGGAAGTACAAACTATGGGATATGAAACAAGTTTTTAAGGATCAAGAAATGTAAGTGTTTACTTTGGTATTTCATTCCATGTTGAATGTAAAGTATTTTTAGTAAGCTTATATATATTTCGCACCTGGGCACTATGCTGCATTGTCCAAATGTAAGTTAGCATTGGCATAAGAATTATTTTTTTTTATTGATTATTGTAATTTTTTAATTCCTTAAACATAAAGGTTTCCTCATGTTGTTTTGCCTTTCTCACCTAACACATGGAAACAAAGAAAGAATGTTTATTTATGGTAGAATAGCACTTAAAATCATTGATCTGACAGGCTCATCCTCTGAAATAACAGCTCTTATAGGGGATTTTTAAAAAAAGTCTAATTTTATAAACAACTACAACATTGTTGTTAAAAGGGAAGGGGATTATTGTAAGATTTGGCGTAAGGCATTTCTAGAGACGTTTTGGAACTTTGTGGAACTTTCTAGAAAATAATTGGATCATATGGATATTCCATTCATCCATAGCCAAAAACCTTCTTAGAATCATTAAGTAAATTGAAAGTGGTAGATAATTGTGTAGGGAACTGGGAATTCACAAAAGAACCTTTTTCCAATATAAACTATACCAAACAGCATGTTTCCTTGGTGTAGTGGTCGTAAACGCGACTGATGACCTTGAACAAGAAATTGTCAGTAGCAGCCCGCGGTCTTTCCCCCCATGCCTCAGAAAGCTTGTAAAGCCGTTGGTTCTGCGCCTGATCTCTTTTCGGTCGTGCCGGTTTACCGTCCCATCGAAATATAAGAGTGAGGAAAAAGAGAGAGCACATGTGCTTGCGCAAATACACTATAATTCCATTCTGCGCAGAAGGCTAGTCTTCGTGGAGACTGGCTGACTTACGAAAATCTGGCTTGGAGGACATTACAAATTACAGGACATTAAAATAAATAATAGTCTACTACTTCTGTACTTTGTTTTATTTCCTTTGATAAAAATATTTATTGTCTTTTGTGTTACGACCCAATAAATACCAACTTAAAAAAAACCTAAATAAAATGATATGTTAGATAGATAGTGTTAGACCGTACTTTATTATTAATTATAACATGTTTTGAAACAGGTGGTATGATGGGTTCTCAACATTTTATGTAGGAGGTGATGGCTTTATTCACAAACATATAGCTGACAAGGTAAATAGACTTTGTATTCATAATATTGTTATAGATGATCATTTTATTTATCTTTTAATACCATCATTATTATTATTATAGCCTATCAGAATCCAGTGCTACAAGTTTTATGATAAAAGTAATCTTTATGCATGAATTATCATATTGTAATGATAAGGTTGTATAATGATGTTAATATTTCTGCATAATAAATTAGAATAGAGTAATTTTCATTCAATATAGATTATTCTAATTTTATAATACTTAGTGAAAGTGATTTTTATATTTACCACATCTGTATTCAATATTCCACCTCACCAGTGTGCAAATTATAGTAAAGTTTACTATTACCGTAGAGCCTATCAAAAACCCATTGTTGAACGTAGGCCTCACGCATATATTGTTTTGTAGGGAGATATTAACCAGAGTAGCCATGTTTGGCAAGGAGGTTGGCAATTGCGGTTTTTTTTATTTTTAGTTATTAGGAGGACGCTGCTGCCCATCTCCGTGGTTTGTTTTCCACAGTCGTCTCTTATGACACCCATGGGACATTATATTCTTACATTGTCACTATATGGTAGTATCATTAAAGTTTAATGTTGTGTAAATTTAGATAAAGAGTTAAGATATTTTGCTAATCATTTTTTTTAAACCAATCTGTGCGATTGTATAATACTGTTACGAGCTTAGGGTTCGTGAAAATAAAAACTTCCGATTGAATTACCAAAATTGACACTTGGATTACCGAACACCGATTAAAACTTAAAACACACTAATAAATCTTTTGTGTATTATAGTATTCTATGGGTCAGACGAAGCCTTTTGGCCACACATTGTATATATGAGTCAGTCTGAGCGTGGCCCACCCCAGTTTGGCCCACTAATAATTGTTGATAATCACACTTAAAACTTAAGTTCACAGTTATATCGCTCCGAAGTCTTCGCTTGTATCGCCAATTCAATACTCACTCGGTCGCGGTCCATACTGGCCTTTTATAGGCCTTTTCAACTGAAAACATCTAGAATGTTCGATTAGAATGACGAAAGTTCTAGCAAGGAATTTTCTAGCAAGCTCTCCTAGTTCTTCTACTCCGTACTAGATGGCGCTAGTAATTTTCGAGAAAGATCTTGACGCTCCTTTTTCTGCTACTTATACTAGATGGCGCTAATAATCACCCGCCATGTACCAGGCATTAATTATGGCGCGCAACACTGCCCCCTCCTAAGGCATGCACCTCCCAAGCATTATCGGCCCCACAGTAACGTGCCAGTCGATCCACATGGACGATCTTAGGAGTATCTTTTGCACCTTTCTGTATGCGGTAAGTTACGTCATTGATCCTTGTCACAATCGCGATCCCATTTAGCTTGAAGCTTAGGTGATTTCCCTTTGCTGCAGAATGGATTGTGCAACCACACTAGTGAATCTTCGTCGAACACTTTGTTGTTCATTTTGCGATCATACCGGGTTTTCATCTTTTCAGACATTTGCTGGCCCGATTGTCTGACGTGCTCATAAATGTCATTCATTTTGTTCCGCAAGTCATTTGCATAATCGGTTATACTGCGAGGGGCATTAGGTGGTATTCTGGTGATCAGGCCTGCAGGCAGCCGTAATTCTCTTCCAAAGTTTACGAAAGCTGGTGTCACTGATGTACTTTCGTGAACAGCGCTTCGATATGACAACATAAATAGTTGTATGTGCTTGTCCCAATCTCGTTGCCGATTGTCTACAACTTTTGCTAGGTACCTCTCCAATGTCTGATTAAACCGTTCTACCATTCCATCAGATTGCGGGCGGTAAGAAGTTGTTCTTGTTTTATGAGTACCCACAACTCGGCAAGTTTCCTGGAATATTTGAGACTCAAAAATCCTTCCTTGATCGCTGTTAATCTCTAAAGGTACTCCAAGACGACAGAAGACTTCATGAACTAGTTTATCTGCAACTGTTGAAGCTTGTTAATTTGGATTGGCGAAGACTTCTGGCCACTTAGTGAAGTAATCCATCACAACCATAAAATATTTGTTACCACTTTCACTTTCCGGAAACGGCCCCGCAACGTCAAGGGTGATCCTCTCCCATGGCGCACCAACATTTTACAATTTCAATGCACCTATATTACAAGCCTGAGGTTCCTTCACAGCCGCACAACTTGTACATTTGCGACACCAATCCTCGACATCGTCACGACAGTGGACCCAGTAAAATCGTTCTTGGATCTTCAGTAGAGTTTGTTTAACTCGCTGTTCGTTGTCGCTGTGTGTTGACGCTCCTATTTCTGCTACTTGATACTAGATGGCGCCAATAATCACCCGCCATGTACCAGGTATTAATTATGACGCGCAACAGTACTTATATACAATTGACCTGCGGTAATCCTAAGGTATCTTGTAATCCGACAGATTAAATATCAAATATAAAATAATAAAAAATAAAAATTTCATGTGATGCACAATGAATACCTATACAGTAAATAATGAATGCACGCTAGGCCACTACCACTCAGTCACATTTCAATTGAGATAATACGCGTTAAGCTAGATTCGTGGTGGCGCGAACTAATTGCAACCTGTTTGACCACGTATTAGCGAAGGACACCTCCCTCCGTGGTGGGTTCATGGCGCGACTCGAATCTACCGACAAGTTAAAGACATGTCGGTTCACAAGGGGTGATGGATTAGCCAGGGGCCGGATTACCGGCGGTCCAATGTATCTATTTCTTTGTACGACGTTCTCATTAAGTCACTTTTCGTGTTGTACATCATACCGGGTGGATCTCAAACTTCGAGCACTTCCCGATGAGCTAGATACTAGACATTTTTAACGTAGCAGAGAATCAGACGACAATGTAGGAGTAAAAAACAAAATAAGAAAACGTGGTACATTATTTTTTTTTTAGTATAAAATAAAAAAAACACCTGTTTCCATTTTCTTTTAACAAACAAATTGTTCCAGGTAATGCCAGACCAAGATAGCATTATAGACGATGAAGAAAAAGCACCAATAGCAGCCAAAATTGCTCTTCTAATTGGGCTCATTCCTAGAAATTATCTCTCTGATGCAGCACCTTACTTCAGCTCATCATCTGGAACGACAGAAGCGACTCCGTTACCATTTAAAGTTCTAGAATAATTAATTCAAACTATAAAAATTCTCACTTGTGATATCTTGAAAGTATTTAATGATTATTTAAACGAACGATCGAAAAATTAAAATATAAACTTAACGTCCATTTATGAAAGAGAATCAGGAAACAAACACCTAGAGAGGTATGGTCGTCATACACCTAAACAGACCTAGAATAACTTAGGGTGATATTTGACAGATCATTATCGGTGAAACAATTCCATTAAATGTTCATTCGTGTTGACCGATGAAAGTTTGCATGCGTTTACATATACTAACAATTGTTTTATTTCATTTTTCATTGTATCCAACGAGATAGAAATACTGAAAGTTTAAAAAATATTACTCGAATACTGTAAGGGTATGTATGATGTAAGTAGTAAATCGAGTGAATAGAAGAGTAAAAAGTTTTTTAACACAAAAATCAATGCAAAAGAAATTTGCATCCATCCCTTGTTCATTTGCGATATTAATTTTTCTTTCAGTGTTGAATGATGCCGATGTAAGTTCCTTTAGCTATAATACCTCATTGGAAAAGTATATTAGCGAACAATTCTGTTGATTATGCTATTAACTTGAAATGATTCATTAAAAATTAACCGTGTATCACCCTTTCTATGCATGTTGACAGATGTCAAAGTCAAAGTGCTTAATACATGCTGTTTGTTGTACTGAATCGTTTTTGTAAAGGGGGAATGGGGGTTCCTTTTAACTTAAATGATATCTAAACACTTAAACAGCTGTACTTTATTAATGTAACTTATCAGTATCAGTAATAAAAAGAAAATAATAGTTAATTTTATATTTATTAAATTATGAATTTGATTATAATTTTTATTTATGCTTCATTCATATTGTACAAATTAGGATTCTTAGCTTGCCAGTTTTAGTTAGAACATCGACATCTTCTTCGTGAATTAATTTAGCAATCAGTTGTTAATGCCTTGTTAGTTATATACTATTATGTAGATGTTATGTATTACAATACAATAAAAACTATTATATAAAATTATTGCTTGTCTCATTTTAACATTGGCACTATTTATATACTATTACATTTGTTGTTAGAAAGTAAACAGCCTATTCATATACGTCCCACTGCTGGGCACAGGTCTCTTCTCACTTCTGAGAGGGATTTAGGGCAAGGAAGTGTCCGCCCCGATGCCCCAATGCGTATTGGCGAACTTCACATATCTTCGAAATATTTTCTTTTCTTATTTCTCAGACATGCAGGTTTCCTCACGATGTTTTACTTCACCGCCGAGCACGTGGTAAATCGGCACTTAAAATTGCAATTAACAATTTCATTAATGCCGGCGGCGATCGAACCCGTGTTACTTGCGTACTGTGAAATTTCGCGAACCGTCTGAGCTACCACGGATCCATTTGTTGAAATTTTGTATATTATTTTGATAACTGTTCAAAATGATGATGTAGAAAATGAATATCCGTATGCTGGTAGAACCGTGGTAGCTCAAAGACTAAGCAGAGAGTTTGCTGTACATTTCACTGTACGCGAGCAAGAGCAACCCGAATTGATATGGATATCAAATGAAAGAGTTTGCTGCGAAGAATACGAAAATAAAATGATTTTAAATCCAATATGACGGGCCGCCCAAGGTGGACTAGTTGTTTTTTATGAACTTCTATGACATGAGTAATATCAATAGATAAAGTTTGCTAAGAATACAAAAATAAAATGATTCTAAATCAATGTGTCCAATGTGATGCGGGCCGCCCAAGGTGGACTAGGTATGCTTTTTTATTCACCCCTATTATATGAATATCAAATGAAAGGGTTCGCTAAGAAGAATTCGAATAAAATGACAACAGGAGATGGTGTACTATTTTTTTTATTATTATTATGTGCGAGCAGCTATGCAGGTCTAGGTAAAGAGACCAGTATCACTGCGACCTAGAAGATCTATTGTGATCGCTGCTATGGCTATAGTTGACTGCTAAGCCCTATGTCTTCAATGAATCGAAGGAGTTGCTTAGCCGTGAACAATTTCACTTCTTCTGGGCGGAGTAGATAGTGTCCCAGATGAGTGTTACGTTTGCGCATTAAGGGTCCGCAATCAGTTGGATGTGTAGAGGCGTTTCTTCCGTTATGGAACAGAACCGACACATCCTTGAGTTGAGCTTAGTCCCAGGATGGACATGTGCTTTTTAAGACAACAGTGTCCAGTTAGGGCTCTTGCCAGAATGCACAATTTATTTTTACTTAATCCCAGGGCTTCTGAAGCGAATTTACGATCAAAAGTCCGGATTAAGGTTTTAGAATGTTTTAAGCCTGGTGTGTCAGACCAGATCTTAAGTGATTTATTGTGATAAACAGTTTCAAGGGTCAATCGGGCTAGGCTTCTTGAGATTCCACAAAATGGCTCGGGTCCAAATTGTGTGCACTTTGAGCCCTCCCGTGCAAGTTTGTCAGCAAATTCGTTGCCTACAATACCCTCGTGACCCGGAACCCATCTTAAAACGACCCTGTTGTTACAACCCAGGGCGTTTAAACGGTTCACGCAGTCTCCAACTAGCTTTGAGTTCCCTAAGTTTGATCTCAGCGCTAGCAGTTCTGCTTGACTAGCAGAGTTTATGTAAATTTTATGGTTGACGTAGTGTTTTTGCAATTTCCGCACACCGAAGTATGGCGAAAATTTCTGCCTGGAAGATAGAGGTGTATCTACCCAAATTCATACTAAGTTTGAATTTGGGGCGTTCCCCGTAAATTCCAAAGCCTACGTCGAGGCCCATTTTAGACCGATCGGTATACCATATGAGGCTACCGACCTCACAGATAACCTGGCCATTCAGCCAGTCTTTGGAGGGTAATTCCACTATATACTTTTTATCAAAAGTGTATAATGAACGCATGATATCTGAGATCATGCATACGACCGGTGATTCCTTAATTGAGTCGAGCATGGATCTCAATCTGTAGGAGAGCAAGCTCAGACCGCCCTGGGCGTTATTTCTATACAAACTAGCTCTCGCCTCCTTGTCTAGATAGAGATCAAGGGGCGTAAATCATAGAAGTGCATTAAGAGCCGCTCCAGGCGATGATCGCAAAGCTCCAGGTGCCATTAGGCAGGCAGTCCTTTGTAGACTATTTAGTCTGTCCGCAGTCGTCTTTTGGTTGGCCTTGTTACACCAGACAATAGAGGCGTAGGTGAGAATCGGCCTCACTATGCTGCTGTACAGCCATAGGACCATACTGGGACGCAAGCCCCAGTTGTTCCCGACTAAACGACTGCACGTACCTAAAGCAATTTTTCCTTATGGCATACGTTGCTAAGGTGAGAGTTCCACGTTAGTTTTTGGTCGATTGTTACGCCCAAGTACTTAACTTCCGTGGAAAATGGTACTTCTTTGCCATTAAGTTTTGGTTGGACTAATTTGTCTAACCGTCTCTTTTTGGTAAAGGGTATTATAACAGTTTTATCAGAATTAACTGATAAACTGTTATCCCTATACCAGTTATTTATGGTGTTTAGGGCTCTATGTATTATTGACGATAAAGTACTTTGGCAAAAGCTCCTTGCAATGATCACAAGGTCATCAGCATAACCCAATGTGTCAATGCGTAGGTCTGCCATTTTTTACAATAGTTGGTCAATCGCAAGAGTCCAAAGAAGGGGTGAGAAAACACCTCCTTGTGGGCAGCCTCTTGTGGTTGCAACCTCAATCGAAGTTTGAAACAGCGCTATTTTTGCCTTTTTGTTTGAAGCATCGACTTCACCCATCTGATGGTTGTGGGGTCAACATTTTTATATGTTAGGCCCCCAATCAGCAGTAATGTGGGGCTACTGTCGAAGGCGCCCTCAATATCTAGAAAGGCACAAAGAGCTATTTCTTTATCCTCCAGTGCTTTTTCGACCCTGTCAATGACACTGATCAGGGCTGTTTCCGTAGATTTGCCTCTGCGGTAAGCGTGCTGGCTGTAATGTATGGGCCTCGTAGCTAGAGCTACATTCCTTATATGTCTATCTATAACCTTTTCCAATGTCTAAAGAAGAAAGGAAAATAGGCTTATAGGACTTTGGTAAAGCGTAGTCCTTTCTACCAGCCTTAGGTATAAATAGAACCTTGACAATTGTCCATCGTTCTGGAATATATCCCCATGCAAAACCTGCTCTGAAGATTTTCACCAGATAAGGAAGAAGGATGTCGATACCCCTCTGTAGTTGGATGGGAATTATTCCATCCTCCCTGCTTGATTTAAATGGTTCAAAGGAGTCAACAGCCCACTGCACCAGGTTTGGCCTTATTATCTTTGCAGCCCTACGCCAGTCTTTATTGCAAGGCCTTCGTAGGGCTCTGAAAGAGTTCAAGGCTGAAGTCTTGTATGACCCTGGGAAATGGGTTGACGCTAGTAACTCCAATGTTTCTGTTTCACTATTAGTGAAGTTACCATCCGGCTTTTTAAGAAGCCCGATCTGATTAGGTTTAGCTTTCGATAGTATCTTGTGTAGTCTTGCACGGCGAGGCAAAGACTCAACTTCATCGCATAGCTTCCTCCACGATGCTCTCTTGGCTTTCCTAATTTCTTTATTATATTCAGTTAGGGCTGCACTATAAATATCCCAATGTTTGGTTTTCTTAGCCCTATTAAATAGTTTCCTGGTCTTTTCCCTAAGGTCTTTCAGCTTAGAATTCCACCAAGAAACTTTTCGTGTTGAGGTCTTGGTTTTGACGGGACAACTGTCCTCGAATGCTTCACGGATACCTACGGTTACTGTCTCCGTCGCTAACTCCATACCTTCAATTGTTTTGATGCTTTTAGGAAACGTTTCCAAATTCCTCCTTAGGCTATCTCTATAGATACCCCAGGAGGTCGCTTTCGGATCCCTAAAAGTAACGGTTTCAAAGGATGGTGATGCTCCAATCACAAACTTAATGTGCTTGTGATCAGACATCGAGTTTTCGCTACTAACATGCCAGTCATTTATCCGCCTGGACATGTTATTGGTAGCAAAGGTTATGTCTTAGGCCTCTGCCTCGAATCT